CTCACAGGAGTTTGGATTTTGTGAATTTATGGTCACATTCATTTCACTTAATTTTAAAGTAACTTGATCCTGTTGAAATTAAAAGAAACATGTTTAAGTTACAAACAAAAACTAGGAGAGACTAAGTGCTGAAAATAAATTAGGAGGAATCAATTGTTGACACCTTGATATCAAGTACAATAGCCCGGGAACATGTCAGAGCCTCATCACAGCAGGGGACACTCTCTGCCTTGATTTCAAAAGTTCCTTTCCCATTACCACAGTCATCCTGAAACAGAACAGATAGAGAAGGATAAGCAAACTCATCTGTGCATTAAAGAAGTATAGAAAACTCACATCAATACTAAATCTTAATTCTGAACATTATCTTTCTTTAAAGAGCAAATCTCAAAGACATTCTTATGTGGTTCACTACATACAACAGATACCCCAAGTTATAAATGTCTTGAGCTCATTAACTTACCTCCACAAGAGTATATTCGCAATTCCCATCAAATCTGTACGATTTTAAATCAAAGGTCTGATAGTGTCCATCTCCATAAACTTGGCATTTACCAGAGCAATCATTACCAACGCAGTTCCACTTTCCATCTTCACAAATGCTGTAATGCAATAAGTTATATACTGTATGTGAGAATGAGCACTACATTGTAGGTTTTGACAACTCAGCTTACAGTTTTCAGCTCCACCTATGATACTCTGTTTTATACTTACCACTTTTTACAGTGTAAATTTATGTTTGTTCCAGGTTTGAACACTTCACCACTATATGTACACGTGCAGTCTTCACGAGAAACACAATTTCCATTATGGTCTTCATATTTTCCTTCTGGACAGTAACAGCCACTCTGACATTCTTCACTGATAGGCTAGAAAAGAGCACAATATGATTCAAATATACATTTGCTAAAATGTTGGTTTTATCACCGCAATAAAAACATATGTAACAAATTGAATGAGACCTCAAAATGTTTCTAGTTGTGCCACTTAAGGCTAAGCTAAAATGGGAGTGGGGATAATCCAGTTCACTACATAAGTGTAGTAGCCATTACGCACCAGCAGAACCACTACATTACAGAGCTTATTTTATGTATTTGATGTATGTCATGCTCATCCTGGTAACTCCCTTTGCAATGCAAGCTTGCACTGGCCTGACAGCCGGCCGCTGTTCCCCCCACGTACAGTACATAGCCAGTTACTATGATCAATGAATTGTCAAGAGACCTGGATCACCCGGAGAGTATTTTTTACCTCACCCATTTCAGATGGCTCAGGGATATTCAAGGGCTCTGACTCTGATCATGGCTCTGTCATCAAAACCCATCTCTGAGGCCCTTGAGCTTGTTTTCTCTGGGGTCTGAGCTTTGACCCCAGCCTTCTCAACCACAGATCTGAACTATTGTCTCTACCTGTGTGCAGAGCTCTACTATGTCATTGCACAGCCTGCAGCTAATCTCCAGTATGTATGCTTTCTGCTCAGCCCAGTACATTTCTGCACGCAGCAGTGCTCAACTTTCCCCTGACTGTGTGGTAACTGTGCAGTTCCCAGCTGTGCATGCTTCCTGTACAGTTCCCATCTCATCTTTCTCTCATTCAGCATGTGAGTTCACCTTATGACTTTCAATCTCCTGCAGGTTTCACTGGGCAGTGGGATCATTATAATACATTTCTCTTATAGAATATAAATTACAAAAGATATAAAAGTGTTTCAATTATAATGAAAGGTTAAATATGACAATTAAAGCACTATTGTCATTTGGAAATCCTAGACAGAATCATGGGGGAGTTGGATCCTAACCCGGCAGCAACAGGGGGCATAGAAACTCACTAACTGAAGCCAATTAACCACCAACTATGTATTTGACTATGGAAAGAAACCAGAGCATTCAGGGCATACCCTAGCAATCACGGGAGAACATACAAACTCCATGCAGATAGCATCCCAGGAATTGAATCCAGGACACTGCAAGGTAGCAATATTATTCACTGAGCTGACATGCCAACCTCTAACTTTATGTATAGGCTAAAAAGCAGCATCATATGATAGCATTCCACCTAATGTGGCTGTACCAGAACTTACCTTTGGCAGATTTAAACTATCACATGTCTTCTGACTTGTGCTAATTGAAGCATTAGCACAGTAAACAAATATTTTTTCGCTTGTACAGTCTGCAAAACATTACACAAAAAGATACAGTAAATACATACAGTACGATGCATTGATATTTATTCAGTATTGTAATACCATCAGACAGATATTCCTCATGCCTACTCCAAGCTCCTCCCATAAGTGGGTCTTCACTTCAGCAATTGCAGCAGCTGCAGCCCCCTTGGCCTGCCTATACCTCTTAAACAAATGCAGAGACACTTCCCACCGCAAGCCATATTCAGAAGCCTTCTTGATGGCTTCCCTCATCGCAGGATGTCCACTAGTGGGCACTAGGGTTCCCACTGACCACCTTCTGGTTACAACTCCTTGCAGATGCTTCAATGACTCCAGTCTTCAGCAAAGAGCCATTTGGGCTCAATGTCCCTGACCTCCCTCAGGACAGAGGAGAAGCTCTTCTGGAGGATGGGATTAAAATAATCTCACATGGAGATGTCCTTCAGCTGTTCCCTAGACACTGTCACTACCAGTTTGGGCCTACAGAGTAGGCTTAACTGACACCTTGTCTGTCTGACCCAACTCGCAATGAAGTGGCGATTAGTTCTGCTCCTCTTTTTACCTGAGTGTCCAGAGCACATAACTTTAATGACACAACTACAAAGTCAACTGTCCTACAGCCCAAGGTGTTCTGATAGACTTATGTGCAATCTGTTGGAACATAGTGTTTGTCATGGACAGTCCATGACCAGCACAGAAGTCCAATAACAACCTACTGCTTGGGTTCAGATCAAGGAGGCCATTTCTTTCAATCACACATGTCCAGGTCTATTTGTCATTCCCCATGTGAACATTGAACACCTGACATATGCATCTCATGAGGGGGAGATCTCCTCTCAGTTTGTATTGGAATCATCATGGGAGATTTATTTTAATTTATTGTACTTAATGTATCTTACCTTTAGAAGCCTTCATTTTGAGGATTCTGGTTTTATAATAATAATAATAATAATAATAATAATAATTGCTTACACTTATACTGTATAGCACTTTTCTGGACACTCCACTCAAAGCGCTTTACAAGTAATGGGGACTCCCCTCCACCACCACCAATGTGCAGCATCCACCTGGAGCAGCCACAGTGCGCCAGAACGCTCACCACACATCAGCTATATGTGGGGCAATGAAGCCAATTCATAGATGGGGATTTTTAGGACGCCATCATTGGTAAGGGCCAATGGGAAATTTGGCCAGGATGCCGGGGTTACACCCCTATTCTTTTCGAGAAACGCCCTGGGATTTTTAAAGACCACAGAGAGTCAGGACCTCGGTTTTACGTCTCATCTGAAGGATGGCTCCTTTTTACAGTATAGTGTCCCCATCACTATACTGGGGCATTAGGACCCACAGTGGACTGCAGGGTGAGCGCCCCCTCCAGCAGCAACCTTAGTTTTTCCCAGGAGGTCTCCCATCCAGGTAATGTTCAGGGTCACACCTGCTTAGCTTCAGTGGGTTGCCAGTTGTGAGTTGCAGAGTGATATAAAATATTAAATTCAAGGGTCTTAATATTTTTGCCAGTTAATGTATTGTTCATAAAATTACTACATTGTAGTAACAATAATTAAAATGACAAAAGCATATCGACAGCATTACATTCAATTAATTATAAAATCCATCCATCTTCTAACATCCATTTTTTATGGATAGAACTTTTAGATTAACATTAAGACCTCTGATATGTGTATATTTAAATCAGAGTAAGCTTCTGTTGAGGAATGCAAATTAAAAAAATGAACAAGTGAATATGGATACAATTGCTAAAGCATAAGTAGTTAAATGCCAGCAAATTAGAAATTATGTACAGGAGATAAAGGGGACAAGTCCAAGCAGAGAGGATAATATTCTCACAAACAAGTTGGACATTTTTTAAATGAAATTAGTTTGTGGCTTAGTTGAGGTTTGATTGTATTATTTTACTTCTTTTTACAAGTTGTAATAACTGCCTAGAAAAAAGGATTATCTTTTTAAATAGTTTTTATGACCATCATTTTATCTGAGCAAATGAAATATAGAATGATTATCAAGTAGACAATTTACTAAATTTAAGCAATCATGCTCTGGTCTGATATGAATAAAACCAATGATTATCAAGTGATACATATAAAAATAATGATATGATATAATACAAGAAGATGCAATATTATTTGATTTGACATTATATAAAGTTTAATTGTGGCATGGCATTGCGGCCTTGAAGCACTGGGACTGTGGGTTCAATTTCTATGATGCTATCTGCATGGAATTTTCTTGCATGGTTTTCTTCCGGGTGCTCCGGTTTCCTCCCACAGTCCAAACACATGCTGGTTAATTGGCTTCTGGGAAAAACTGGCCCTAGTATGAGGTTTTGTGTGTTTGTGTGTGCCCTGTGATGGACTGGCATGCTATCCAGGGAGTATCCCACACTTGTGTTTGTGAGTGAAGCTCCAGCTCCCCTGTGACCATATCCTGGATAAAACGGTTAGAAAATGGATGGATAATGTTTATTATTTACTTAAATCACCAGGCAGTAATCTTATTTTATCTTATAATACGTCTTACTTTGTTTTAGATTACAATCAAGTCTCCCATCTTCACAATTGCTGAAATAAAAAAATAAATTAAATCAACACTTGATTGTTACTTGCATTAGCATGCAAATACATAACAAATCTTAACAAAATACTGACATATATATTAATTCTTGCAAAATACAAGCATGTTTTTTTTAAGTTCATTGTATATTATTATGATAGGGTAGATCGCAATTACTGTACATGGTATTGCAATCCCTTTAAAGCACAAATCTAAAGTCTCAGGAAAAAGATTTAGACCAAAACAAAACACTGGTGAAAGAATGGGTGGCTGGCATTAATGATTGAAAAAAAGGCTTAAATTTGTAATTTTTACAATATTGCTTGCATAGACATATATTGTGTTAAATAGCAAATCTTATTTTATTGCATTATAAAAATCTGATGCTCTTGTATCCGTAAGTGTAGTAAAACAATATAGTGAAGTAGAAGTCTGGATTTTAATCAAATATATCATCAACATATCGACAAATAAATAATTATGGTCTCTTTAGGAATGCAACACCAGTTCAAAATCTGACTTTCTATCCCTGTGAAGAGACTCACCAGGATTGATATCCAGCGATATCAAATGTCCCCCGCTTATAAATGTCATTTCCATGGTAACACGGACATTGAAATGTTGATGTACAGGTCTGTTCATCGTCCATGTGGGAGCCTTCTGAACATCCACACCCCTCCACAGGGTCGTCTTCCACTTCACAGGTAAAGTCGTACACAGAGAGGGAGCGGCAGGTACGATTGCAGGCTGTCATGATGTATTCAAATTTCTGGTTCTTGGGACATGACACAACTAAAATATTAAACAATAACACAAGAGATATACAGTAAGATATAAGATGATGACTGGCTCCATATCAAATAAGTTAAATAACAATGGTGACTTTTTGCGTCCCACCAAAAGGTGATTTTTAATGGTAATCTGTCCTTGTTATGGTATGAATCAGGTTATTGTTTAACTCCAATAAAATGAATAACAAAGAATTGAACATACTGCAATCATCCTTTCTCCAGTCTTCCACAATTATCCCCTGGGCAGCACAGGCTTTGGCATAGTTACCAAGAGCAGTACACAAGCAATCTTGAACATTTTCAGCACATTGACACACACTTTCTTCACAGGTCTGAAAAACAAATGATGCATATCCTTTGCTAATAGCTTAAGTCATTTAGAATTACATTTTTGATCTTTTAATGTGAACTACTTTGCTTTGTTAAATAAAAATGTTGCTAGGAGAGCTTGCTATTCTGGAGTCAGGTAAGGAACTAGGATTTCCTGAGTGAAGAATCCCTCTCCTTATTAGTGGGTACATTTTAAAATAATGAGACAGGTTTCCATTTTGTGACATCCAGGTTTGCAGACAGAGTTTAAACTGTACGTTTGATTCTATGTAGTTTCGAATGCAGCTTATCTTTTCTTTTGGCATCTGTAGGTATTAAGAATTGAATACTTGGTAAGAGTGTGGGATTTTTCTTCATGGTTTGGACATTAGGCCTTTGGGATGCCTTGTCGGTAAACTTTTACTATACATAGGGAAACTTGTGTGTTGTATATTTATGTTGTGTGTAGTGTGTGTATTGTCACTTTTAAGAAATGTTTAAAATGATTGCTTTTTTCACCAAAGTTGTGCAAGATAACACAGAAAGCATGCAGAACTCTTTACAAGTTGGGGTTATGATTATTAATTTACTGATTAATTTATCCGCTTGGTCAGTTTCTTAGTATTCTCTAATTTACATAAACCCCTATTTGTAACATACATTACATTTACAAGTCCAGAAACAAGTCACTAGTTACAGTACCAGGTTTAAAGGAAGGTCTTGCACTCACAGAAGAAAAAAAAGAACTGAATCTTTTTAGTATCAAACAGTACTTGGGGACCTGATTAAAATATTCAGAATCTTCAAATCATTGACAAAGAGGACGAGATCTCTGAATCGATTAGTCACTAGCCAGTGAGTTTGATCGTTTTAGCATGCTTTAATTAATGCATTTTTTTCCACAGGTCATAAATATATTGATATGGAAAACATTTATCTAAATAAAATTATTGCTATGTACGCTAGTTTTGACTAGTGATACCCTTCCACTTTTATCTAGCCTTTTGTTTTAGAAAGCTGTACACCTAATAATGTATTCTTCACCAATATCTTCTGTTTCTCATGTTTCAGCGACTTTAAGACCTTTGTAGGTGAATGCTGATGCAATTGCCTCTATTCCTTTTTGGCTTCTGGAAGAAAGGTACAGTCACTTATTGGATCTTTGAATTGTTTTTTTTCTGATCCTTGAATTGCAATATTTCTTGGCTAATATACAGTACCTTGTTTACATGTTAGGATAGCTCATTTTCTTAAAAGAGTGCAACAAAAAAAAACTTACCCTGATATAGCTGTCATACTGCACATGATCATGACACTTAGCAAATGGTCCTGTAGGGTCCATGATATAGCCACAGTTTTCTTTTCCATATAAGTCTGTTGAATAAAATAAGAAATATATAGTATACGTTTATAATTGCATTGTGTTTTAGTAATGAGACAGTCACGGATGTGTACAATTGCATCCATACATCTCATAAGGTCTTATTTTGTCATTTAGAAATGTGCGTAATTCCAAAGGCACACAAGGACACAATGTTCTAGACCACAATATGCTGTATTGGATACTTACGAATCAGTGCATATCACTTGACTTGTTTAGTTTTAACATAAATATGTTACAACTGGTCTCAGTTCCAATGACCCCCAGAGAACCGGGGTGAGGATAAAAGCATGATCTGTATACCTTAACAAATAGTATTGTAGATTATCTAAAAAGTGGTAATCCATTAAAGACAGTTCAGAATTGTGCCATTGACCACTCTAATTTACTAAATTATTTAAGAAAAGTTACAATGCTTTGTGGAAGCCAGAAACAGCTTATCCAGCTCTGTTGCCAAAGCCATGACCACTGCTTCCTTTAGTTACTATAGTTACTTTCAGTTAGCAGGTCAAGTGATAACGAAAAGCTTGAATTTTCTGATTTGCAGATTTTCTCATGTTCTTCTTTTATGTTATGTGACAGCTTCTACTATTTCTCAAACAATAACAATACGTGCTGAGTCCAACTGTTCCACTTAATTGAAAGACAAAGAATTTACACTCCTCTGAACGGATATGTTTCTATGAAGTTAAACTCTGAAATATTGCAATTATGTTTTGCTGTATATAGGCACCAATGCATGTTCAATTAAAAAATAGAGTTATCTATTTCTTGTTTGTCCTCAGGTATATTTTACAACCTGTTATTGAGATCTTCTTTGCAGGTAGAAATCATAAACACATAAGGAAAACAATTGTGTAATGTTTTTACTTGGGATTTGAGATTTGGGATTTGGGATGTTTTCCCTTTTCATTGAAATGTCCCTTTTTTGGTATTTTGCCAAAAATGTTAGATTAATTATATTTAAGTTGATTTATTGATTCTTAGACCAGATCTAATTCTCAGGTCCTAGATTTAGATATACTGTTGGTTGACACATGTACCAGTAGCAACCTCTTTAACAGCATGGTCTGATTTACTGTATCTCTGTATATTTTCTCTATTTTTACTATCTTTCTCTTTTGCAACTCATTCAAGTGTTTCATGCTCCTATATAATTATACTTTTACCAGAACTTTCATTTCTGATATAATATCTGTTTCCATATTATTTATTTTAATTTACTATTTCTCTTTTCTATTTTCATGTTTTTCTATTATTAGTCAAACTAGAGTTTTACCCACAGATAATAATAAATAGTATATTGGAAACAACAGGTTGGGTGGCTGCTCTTGAAAACGTTACCTAAAAATGTATTAGGTGTACAGTATATGGTCTAACCACTAAATAATGTATGTTATAACCATATACAGTATATAGGTGAGGTATTGTAAGTGTTATAATCTAGACAAAAAAACTTTTAAATTAACTATATTTTCAAGGACATGTAGCAGCAAGACATATTACAATTAGATTTGGGTGTTCTTAAAGACTATTAGAAATCTTTGTGTTGCCTTGACAAGGAAGCTTGGGCTTCTCTGTAAATGCAGGGGAATGTGGCTCCTCTGATAAAAAAAGCTGAATCTGTTTAGAGAAAAAGCTCCTCTGATAAGACGAATCAGGAAGCTGTGCAATCTAATGAAATACAGTGCAGATGGACTCTATTGAATCTGTAGTCAATCTGTAGTCTGTTTCACCCCAAGAAAATAGGCTCAAGATCACTGTTCATCACCCAAAGGAAGATCCACCAATGTGGGACCTGCAGGGTGGGTACCAGAACTAATAATGATAACACCCTCAAGCAATCACCAGCTGTAATGTTGCACCTTAAGAGCTAGCACCCAACTCATATTTCATTAGTTAACTCATCAGCTCCTCTTCTCTCTCCAACTAAATTGAATATCCAAACACGTGCATCCAAACACATGCAATCTGAATCAGGATTTAAAAGTTTCTCTAAGATGCTAGGCCAAGAGGGTGAGTTAGCAAAGTACATAATTCTACACATGAGAAATTCTTTCTGAAACCAAAAGTTTGTGTTTTTTAGACCCACTTGTTGTTTTTGCTTTACAACTAAATAAGACAGCTGGACTGTTTTTGTCCACATTCTGAATATTCAAGCATATTCAGCACCAAGCTACTGTATAGCCAGTACAAACCGAGGTCTCCCACCTGACTACCTTGCAGCTGTACTCCAATAAGACAGCTGTCACAGACTGCTTCAAATACTACATTTAAAAACAAAAGTTATTGCGACCCTACTTCCTTGCAGAGCTGCCCTCATGGTAGGTAAAGCTCAAAGCTCTCTTCTACTTGCACTGGGACACTTTCTGCACAGAGCCAGCAGCTGCCAAGTCGAACCGTGGCCTAACCCAGCCCAGCCCCATCTTGTCAGCAGGAAGTTTAAACTTTTTTATTGACATTATATTTCTGTAGAGTTAAACTATTATTCCAAACACGTTTGATGTTTAGTTTGTGATAGTAAATGCATACTTACTGATGTCTGAGAATATGAATGTGATGTAATTATATGAGACTGATAACATCTCCGAGTTAGGCTGAAGCACGTTTTATTCTTCTCCTTGTAATCACTAAGTCAATGATCAGCCTTTTATATCTAAGCATATCTTTTCACCAATATATTACATTTATTTTTTAAGCATTTTTGGTGTTATATCAATAAAACTGTATTGTATATTTAGAATCTGAAGTGTTCTGAAAGTGTAGCTGAAAAGGGCAGGCAAAAATATTTCAAGTAATTGTGGGTGAATGAGTCAAACTGATGCAGACGTTTACAAAGAAAGTGTACTACTGTGATAATTTGAGCTATATGAATATAATTATATTGTTATTAATTTCTTTAGATATGAGATTCCATATTATATTCCCTATTAATCAAATTTTAAAAAGTATGAATTTATTTTACTGCAATAATGATTGCAATTATTCATAGAAAATGTTAAAACATTCGAACTATATATCAAGTATATAAACTTAATATAGTCAGAAGGTGCAGGTACAGATGCAGCCATTCCGCAGTACCGCAGTACCTGATTGTCTGACCAAAATGACCAACAGGGGCACTCATGGTGCATTAGATAAATAGATTGGTCGCTAGTGAAAAGATGTAATAATTTAATCTTTTATTTGTGATTGTAATCCGTGTATTTTTTATTTAAACTACCAATACCTGCCAAATACAGTTTACATAATACATAATATGTATGTTTATATTCCTAAATTAATATACTTTATGAACTTAAGACACGTTATTCTCCTCATCTTTTTATGCTCAGCTACTAAAATTTCCCTTTAGTTGTAAAATTCCATATTAATATTCAATATAAAGCAGATTTAAACGTGCACAGTAAAGAGATTAAATGAAGCAATCTTTTCACTTACAACCAATGTACAAAGTGTGCTGCTTGTTGGTCATTTTGGCCAGACAATAACATACTGCGGTAAACTGTAGAAGATTCCACGCGGTACGGGGTTTTACCATGCATTTTGAACGGCTGTATCTGTACAACAGACATTTTACCTTAATATGTTCTCTGTCCTTACTGAAATTAAAGGAACTACTAATACAAAAAGGGATAAAAAAGGACTATTTTACATTTTGTAAAACTCTTACATTTTAACTAGATAAAAATATTAACCTATCAAATTAATACCTATCTTTCATCAAATCAACATTTATACATTTGAGGATATACTGTATGAGCATAAATAATTGCAGTGAATCAACCTTTATTACGTGCCTCTTTATTTTGGGTTTGGGTATAAGCACTTCAATACTTCCTACATTTCTATGTAAATCATATGATGTACTGAAAAATCAATCATGTTTAGTGATTCTTGCAAAAGCAGGGTGATATTACCATTTAGTGTATTTGTGCAAATCTGTGGTGTCTTGTCTTCACAGGTTCTTGCCATCCAGGAATTAGCAAACTCATCAACAGAATTTTCTACGATACCGCTGCTTGAAGTAAATTCATCTCTAATGTCATCGTTGTAGTTCCCACATAGACCTGATAAAATAAACGTGGAAAAATATGAATATATGTTTTATCTAAAATTATTTAGATATCTTTTATATATTAAATTAGCAACATATACAACATTTACCATATGTTTAATATGTATTTCTGAGATGTTAATTACAATATTGGTTTAATTTTATTGTTAATGCAGTTTGTGTTTTTAAATAAAAGAGTGATAAGTTATTTCTAAATGAGGACAGTGGCTTTTTATCTGCACAAAAGAAAAAGCATACTCAGTAAAAAAAAGTAACAGAAATAAACAACCATTTTAAATAAATTTCATAAAATGAAATGAAAATAACAATTACATCTTTTTTAACAACATTTGACACTTTTGATTCTCTTTAATGTGCAAACTATACATAAACATACCTTGTGTTGTCCCTTTGAGTTTTTCAGGTAATGTAAGGTACAGCTGCATTAAAGGAGACACCTGAATTTGCATCTTCAGTCCAAAAGATGTCTGTACTTGAATGTACATTGAAGACCGTCGGAAAGTTCTGAGATGTTCTGAGATGCATGTAAATACAAATATATATATATATATTATGAGCAGATACTTAAATATTCCAACCAGAAGATAACATAATAATAACCTGTTACTGTATAGGTTTATTTCATGCAGAAAAGAGAAGAAAGAAAACACAACAGCCGTGTAGCCTTCTTCAGGTGTCTTCTTTACTAAAATTAAAGGTAAACTATGAAACAAGCAACTCAGGAAATACTTTGGTAGCTAATCCACTACATTTACTTTTTAAAGCTACCTGACTAACTAGGTATTCCTCATCATTAACATACAGTAATTTGTTCTCCCCTACATATTAAAGAAGTTTGAAGCATAGTTTCCTTACTTCAAAATTAAGATATCTCAGCTAAACTGATGGATTTGAACAAAATGGACAAACATTTCAGTAGAAGATCACTATAGAAAGTTATTTCGTTTAACATAAAGAAGGGAAAAGAGAATACAATACAAAAGAGACAATACAAAATGTCTAATATTTTTTTACAGCAGTGTATCTTTACATTAATTTACTAATTAATATGAATAAAATATAGCAAAAGGTACCTACAGATGTGTCTCTAAGAGTTTAGAGACAATGGGTACAACCTAGCTAGTGTGCACTCTGTCAGAGGTGGGGCGGCACCGAGAGAGGGAGGAGGAGCAGCACAGCATGAGCTTTCTATAGCGAGAAGTGTGAATGGCACCAATCGTGTCTGCATTTATCACTTACTTTTTAAAATTAAACAACATAAATCATTATCTTCGTGTTCTCAGTCAGTTAATTAACTTTAAGCATAACTTTCTCACAATTTAGATTTACTTTTCATACCATCGTTAAACAAAGCAGGAGCTTATTGTACTTCCTAAAGGCATCAAACGAGGAAAGATTTGATTGTAATCGTTTTTATTTTTTAAAAATAAATTTTAGCAAAGTGTCATCTCTACAAATGCCACAAAACTATTTTCACTTGTATTTCTGAATGTCATGGCACACTTAGTTCAACGTTTTAAATAAATCTAAATAAGAAAGTCAGGTGTGAACATAAACTATTAGTAATCAATAATATTACAATTAGCACTAATAAATTGTTGCACTGTTTCTGCATCTTGAAAAAATATAAATGTACAAATCATTGTTCAAATGTTGGTTAAATCTGAATATCAGATAATAAGTGAAATACAAAATTCATAAAGAAACAATTGGGTAAAATATAATTTAAAATATTTTGCTAACAATCAACAATTAATAACAATCTTAACTTTGTAAAAAAATAAGTATATTAACTAAGGAATCGGATGCTACAGTGGTTTGTATGCCTTTTGTATGTTTATCATAAATACAACAATAGTACCAGATAGTTCAGGTATATTTATAGTACTTCAGGTGGGTAGCTGCGTCACCATGCGTAGGCTGCAAAGGAACAAGTAATAGGTTTATTCCATGCTGAAAAAAAGAAGAAAAAACACCTGAAGAAGGCTCCACGGCTGAAATGTTTTGTTTTCTTTCTTCTTTTTTTCAGCATGGAATAAACCTATTACCTGTTCCAGTAGTACCAGATGTCTCAGAGACATTCAAAATTAAATTATGCATGGAAATCTTTAACTAGAAAAATGACTAAGATATCCATCTATTTTTAATGGTGACGCAGTGATTAGCTTTAAGTTTAAGTTGAAGTTTAAACAACTGGGTTTATTGCATGCAAGGAATCAAAGTATTGTTTGGAATATAGGTACAAAACTTCCAGTTTATATAGCAAATTTAATCCGTTTCTGACACAAATTGTTACCATGGTAAGGGGGGGAGGCCATCTGTGTTTGGACATTCCCAAGACCTTGACCACTTTGAATGGCCAGTTTTATCTTTCCTTAGTTAGGGGTCTCTATCTTGCACTTGGAATCTCTTATCAGTTAACTCCCATCCCTCCCATAACTTAAAAGTGCTTAAGCATGGAATGTCTTGTGTCACAAGAGGTCTTTGTTCAGAAAGAAATCAGTTAGCCCCTTTTTCACAACTTATATCTTTCTTCATCTGTAAAGGATAAAGAGATTAGAAAATGGATGGAACTAAAGGCACTGTGTAACTACTGTATACACAGCGATAGAAAGCCATTATGAGATGGAAGGAACTCACTAAGGATAAATTATTTAGTGCTGATTTAAGGAATCAGTCTTTCCACTTCTCTGGATCTGATCAATCTACCTATTTTCTGTGCTTTCCCTATCCTGCTTGATTTATAATTATTCAAAAAAATCTCCTTCTTTAAATTAGTCATTTATAAATACTGTTAACATCTTGCACCAACTGTAACAAAATATACACTGAGCTCAACCTACTGAGTCCTACAGGTACTTAATTGAGTCCTTAATTAATCCTGCTACCAGCATTGAATAAAAAATCTTTAGATTTCTATATTTATATCTTTATTTAGTACTTCCATTAGTGAAAAAGGCTAAATTACTTTCTTGGAAAAATGTATTTTATGTGTTTGAAAAAAATGACTTACTAAATATCTCTGTTTTTCCATGTGTGCTAATTTTCTGACTCTCTATCCTATCAAACCTTCATGGTCTCCCTACCAGAAATGCACCTGATTATTCAAGCCCCTAACTCTCTGCCAAATCTGCTTCAGGTTCACATGTTATTTTGTAACACACACTTCTGTGATTTTTTTGTATATATAAGCTTTTGCAAGTGTTCCTGCATCCCTCATGGCTTTTTTTCTGTTTCCCTATTTCAAGGTAACACCTGCTCCAATTCTAAAACTTTGCTCATGTACATTTTTGTATTTTCAAATTTATTTACATCTCTAACACTTTAACATCCGAAATGTTCATTTGCCTGAATTTTTTTTAACTGAATTTTAGTTTCAGACTTAAAAAATGTTTACGTTTCTCTCTTTTGTTCCTTGTCCCACAGAGCTCTTTAATTGTGAAGTTCCCAGCATTTTTACATTGCTCTATTAAATGGTTAGGTTACTTGAACTTTCATTGTATTTGGCACTACTTGGACATAACTCCAGTTGAATCATATTATGCCTTTCACTGATATTTGGAGCCTGATAGCCTATTTGGAAAACAGCAAACCCAAGTGCAAAAACTCATCAGAGCATTTACAGGTTCAGGGGAAAAGAGCTGACAGAACGAAGTTGCAATAATTTATTTAGAAGGTTTTTTCTTGTCCTTCCATAGATTGATGAGAGCAGTAAGGGACATTCGGCAATGTGATTTCACGAATGCTTTATTTTCTGTTTTATTTATTTTTAATTTAGTAAAATGTCTGGATTTTTTCATTTTGACATGATAGAGTACTTTGTGTTGATGAGTGCCAAGACTTCTCAATTAAAAAGATCATGGTTCCATGCTGTAACACAATAAAATGTGAAAAAGTCCAAGGGGTGTAAATAGTTTTGCAAGGCACTCTATACTGTAGATTTGAGTTGCGTGTGTGGAACAGCAGGAGGCGAGACTCAGCAGGAGGAAAGGGTGGAGCAGTGGCTCTCTGGTTAAGGATCTGTGGCTGGAAGGTTGTTGGTTCTAATCCTGCAGTCGGCAGAGGAATCCTACTTCCTGAGCAAGGCCCTTAACCCCAACTGCTCCAAAGGTGCTGTACATTGGCTGACCCTGTTCTCTGACCACAAGATTTTCTCTGTCTGTGTGTCCCATGGAGAGCAAGTAGGGTATGTGAAAAAAGACAAATTCCTAATGCAAGAAATTGTATATGGCTTATAAAGTGATCTTATGTTATATGGATTAGCCATATCGTTCAAGTTTTATAAAAAAAATAATCTTTGTTGAGTTTACACAAGAGACAAAAGGTACCTTTTGAGAAGTAGTGTACTGCTTGCAAAGTAGCTTATTTTGACAAACAGCAAATTATTGCTTGAAGAAATCTGTACTGTAGCTTTATTTAATTGAACAGAAAGTCACTTTACACCTTGCTTACTCTGTTAAGCAGAGTTTTTGTTAAGCACAGTTCACACTCTTTTGTCTGTTGGAGAGCGGGAGCTGGGCAAGGTAAGGCCGAGTGATGGAGAGTGAAATAATCGCATACCTGTAGTCATAGTCATCATAGTAATACACGGTCACATTAAAACTAATTCTCTAAAGGCATTACAGGTAATATTATTATATTAATGTAACAGTGTATTACTATGATCTTGCAAGTATGTTTTAAATGTTTGTAATCGCTATTTTTGCAGATACATTTTGTATTGCTATTCAGTTTGTGTCTGCATGTTAGTTGATGGGCATACGTTAAAGCGGAGAAGATGGCAGAAAATGTTTTCTCTGTATGCTGCTTAAGCCATTCCATTTTGTGAGAAAACGCCTCCCCCTCCCCCTCTGCCTACATGACTCATTTTTAATCATCGTGTCCGAATTGCAGCGGGTGATAGAGAGAGATGAGATACAGAAAAAAGTGAATCATGGTTTACTTTTAAATGATATTTTACCTTCATTTTTTATTCTAAAAGTCTGTACAGTATCTTAGTTATTTTCTGATAGTCTATTTTAACGTATACAGTATTTGAACAAAATCTTGTTAGTTAATGTTTGTACAAGATGTGGAAGAAGTGCAACAATTTATTACATTGTGAATTTTAATACTAATTATTGATTTGTAATAGTTTATGCTCAGGCCTGACTTTCTTGTTTAGATGTATATCAAATATTGAACTAAGTGTGACAACATCCGTAAATACAACTGAAAATAATCTGTGGTATTTGTGTAGATTAAATGTTTCTAAAATCTCTATAAAATAAAAACGCTTATGTATAATCTTAAATGTATCTTCCCACATGTAATGTCATAAGAAAGTACAATAAGCACCTGCTTTGTTTAATGATGGTTTCAAATATAAAACTTATTGATGAGAAAGCTATGTTAAATGAAAATTTAAAAAAAACTCCAAGTTGAAATAAATTATTTACGTTCCATTATTAAATTTTAAAAGCAGACAGACACGCTCAGTGCAAAGCTGCAGAGCGGTCTTGATGTAATACTCCAAGCCTCTGCTCAGGTCTGCCTCTTTGATGGAGCTCAGGGGGTACCGTCCTGTTTCCTTTAGCAACCTGCTGATTGCTGATTGCTTCATACATCAGGAAGAGTTGAGAAGGAATTAAATTTTATCTGTACGATATGGGTGTTACATTTACAAAATGTTTAAAATGTTTCATTAAAAATTTAAAAATACAACTTACACAAAGATTCTAAGATGATCGTGCAAAAAATGTGTCAATAACTATCTAACCCCGTTTTTTCATGGATTTTAAAGTCATGCAGTTTTAGGTAGGGACACGCAAATTCTTATTTTTTATTTTCTTTAAATTTAAAAGAATCAGTTGCCCATCGTGCCAGAAAATATTATAGTTTTATGTTTTTGGTATTTATTTATTGAACAAATTGTGATATGTAAAAATAAAACATCAATATAATGTACAGAATATTAAATACTTTAAATGCGTATTTGTTAAAGGAAAATTCCTGCCGTGAGCAGGATTCTAACCCCAGTTTACAGAATGCGAGTCACACACTGAAGCCATTATACCAACAATCCAATTGGCAGCTTAGGTTATAGCTGAAAAGGGCAGGTAAAATGTTTCCAAGTAATTACATGTGAATGAGTCATATTGACAGATGTTTACAAAGGAAGTGGACTATGGTAATACTTTGAGCTACAGTATATAAATATATTTAGATTCTTAAATTAATATTATTAATTTCTTTAGATAAGTGATTTCATATTACCTATTAAGCAGATTCTAAAAAGTATGCGTTTTTTAATGCGATAAAGAGCACAAGTATTCATAGCTTTTTATAAATTATATAAACTTTAAATAGAATGACCACAACAAAACTTTCCCAAAATAACCACAGTAAGAGACCAAGTGAAAGACTTTGATGCATAAAATGTTTATGCTTATGAAGAAATTAGAATACTATTGTGTATTTTTTATTTAAACTACCACTGGCAGCCATATACAGTTTGATAATATTGTAAAGCATATGGCCGACAGGCACTATGTAAGAGCCGGCTTACCAGAGTGGTGACGTCACGGCCCTTCCCTGTAATAGCAGGACCACAGCCACTGGGCTATAGAGAGATCTCTCTTTAGCTTACCAGGCTGGGTCCCTGTTGAGTGACACCGGAGGCCCGGGTTCGTGTCCCCGACGGTGCAGGGCCGACCGTAAGCGGCAATGGCAAAGGTGCCCACCTGAACCCCGTTACGTTATAATATATTTAAATTCCTAAATTAATATAGTTTATGATGTTCAAAGACGCTATGCTCCTCTTATTTTTATGCTCCACTACCAAAATTACCCTGTAGTTGTAGAATTCCATAATAATATTCAATATTAAGTGGATTTAAACATGCACATTATTGAGATTAAATGAAGCAATTTCACTAACAACCAATGCACCACAAGTGCCACCAGTCGGTCATTTTGGCCAGCAAATTATGTACTGCGATATTCTCTGGCAATCTGCAGTATTTACCGTTTTTTTAGAATGGTTGCATCTGTATGTTAATGTGTTATTTGGTACTCACCTGATTGGTAGAATTCATACTTTTCAAGATTTGTCTTGTCTGATATGGAGAATTCATAGAGTTCCTACAATTTTGAACAAATTATCAATCAAATCTTCCAGAATTAAATGTTGTGTACATGTGTACAGTAGGTTAAAAAAGCTCTGTTATAAAATATTTCTATGTGGTTTCTATAGAGTACCAGTATTTATTTCAACATTATGAATGTAACAGTACACATTTAAAAAACAATATGTATGTTTTAGTTTGTATAGTATAAGTAAGTGTTTTTCAAAACCTTGATGTTCCATTCTAACTTCCGGTTTTATCCTGGCACTGAAATTAATTAATAAGATTTGCAAAGACTAACTAAATTCCTCGTACATTTATGTGGCAAATAACTATTAATGTTTGTATCTGAGAACTGATATGCAAAATTGTATTAGCTCTTCCACACACGTTTATTTCCAATATACACTGTACATACAGTGTCTGTATATACAATTAAAAATACTTTATTATCTCCAGGGGGACAATTTAAGTCCATACAGTATATAAAATATATTTATAACATATACGTAATTAATATTTATAAATACACATTGAAATCCTTACAATTTATAACAATAATTATTTGTTTCAATTGCAGTATCTCTCAGTACAGAGTTGTATCAATAATTGAAAAAAAAATCTTACCTTGTAAAGTTCAAGTTTAACGCTGCTTAAGTAAATTTGATTTTCTAAAAACTCAACAGTAAGAGTCCAGTTAAGTCCCTGTAAGTGAAACAAGATAAAGGGAAGGCCAAGAATCAGTAAAGAATCCTTTTGTCAATATAAAATAATATATAAAGTTTACTTGATGCTTTTAGTGGTATCACTGTGATCAAAGTAAGGTCTAAAAGTTTAATCAAACATTCTCATTCCAACACAGACTGATGTTAACTAAAACACAAACAAATCTTAAAATATACTCTTCACTGCAATCCAATTTCCAATGTATTGAAATATATATTTTCTATATTATTGCAGTCATTTGTATTGAGCTGTTCTTGTTGTGCACAGTACTGCTAAATTATTGTAGTGATTAATTGCACACTGCCCAACAGTGTCCATGGAAGTAAATCAGGTATGATAAGTAAGTTAATTTCTTGAAGCATTAAGATTTTGAGCAGAATTAACACTAATATTCTCCATACCGCAAGCTAAAGCAAATAAAAGAATACCTACGGTATGCACTACTTTACATAAAATAGAAACTAATACCCCATTTATTGGAACTAAAAATGCATATTTAAAGTTTTGTGCACCTTTCTAATGATGAATAATCAAATTTGAAACTCACATTTGAGGAAAGAAGTCATCTTAACTATGCTGCCTAGCAATTAAAAGTAAAACCATAACCCATTAAAAAAAAAGTCTACACAATTTCCACTGATCACCCAAAAGCAGATGATAACTACATGATACATCTAAATTACAAGATATTGACTGTACACATGGAGAGGAAGAGGAACACACAGCAAGAGAATTGAAACAGAAACAGGAATACAAGATGTGTGGCATACAATGAGCCCTGGGAGGCACAGACAGACAGCCTGGGGGTCTCTGCGCAGACTGGAAGCTGGAGTCATGACAGGTGACATCATCACCAGATGTGGAAGCAGGCTGGTGGACGGGTGCTTATTTATTGTAAATCTTGGAAAGGAATAATGAAAAAATGTTCCTTCTTTGGGGTATTTTTTAAAGAAATATTGTGGTTGTAAAGAGTCTGTTGTAGTTTTGCAACAGTCCAGTCCTTAATAGTTGAAAAGGCATTACTGGATGATGCAGACAAAGTAATATATGAGATGAAGTGCATACCGACTGAAGCTAGGATTTGAAGGTAAAAGAGTTGCGCAAGATTGTAAGGATATTAATAGCACAAGTAGCATGAGCCCATAAGAAGGGCAGCAAGTGAGGTCCTATGAGTTAATCAAAGTAGCCCCATGAAGTCATGTTATCATCAATAACTACAAGTGGACTTCTCTGTCAACTAGAAATGCCCGTCTAGACCATTAAACTTAGACTTTCTCATTGATATGTGGGAATAAGAATTAGTACATAGTACAGCCATTCATCCTGATATGTATCAGGGTAGTATGCACAAAACATTGATTTATTACTAAAGATAACTTGGTTAGACTGTTATAAATTCCACCTGAAGTGTTCCACCAGTACACTTATGGAAAAAGGCACTGTTTTATTGATAAGTGAAGCATATTGGCTCCTTTATCAATCACTTTATCACTTGAGCCCAATCACCTCTTTTACTAATGAGGGGATTTATTGTTAATGAATAATCAGAGGCACTCAAATGTATATCAGTTGGCCATGACTGAATTATTAAAGACATGGTATTGGGAAAATCACAGAAATCGGGGAATTGTCATTGAGCAAAAGCAGTCTGGGTGAAGACTTAGATACCTCAGACTGATACTTGGTTATTATGCACTATTCTTTTAGATTTTAGACTGTAAATATCTAAATATGCATTTTTAGCAATATTGTGCTGATTACTATAAAACAAAGAATTTGAAAATAATTTTAACTACCTGAGCAACAAAATATTGGCATCTTCCTGGAATTCTGTAGTTTTTGCCATCAAATGTAGTCACAAATATGCCTTCAATTTTGCATCTTGAAGGGCATTTTTTCTGAGAGCAATCCCATTTCCCATCTTTGCAAACACTGTAAAGCAAAAACATTTAATCATTTAAGGTGGTAAATGGTAAAATATAACAGATGTTAAAAACACTGTTTCAATTCTTTATGTATGAAACTCACCATTTCTGGCACTTTGTTTCAAGGTTATAACCAGCAGGATACACATTTCCAGCGTATACACAGGGACAGTCCTTTAGTTCCACACACTGGTTTTTTCCTTCAAGATCATTAAGGACTTTTCCTATAATGTTAGTAATACAAATTATTTCATTATAATTGTAAATACTGTTTTGCTACCATGTAACTAAAAGGATACTGCTGCACTGGAAAGGGTTCAAACCAACCAAACTAATTCCAGATCATACAGGTAAGTCATACACAGACAGTTTATATTGACTTTAAAGACTTTTAGACTTTAAACGAGGAAGACGGTAGACAAGCAGATTAAAATATTTACAATCTTGTAAACTACAGGCAAAGTTAGTCCAGTAGACTACTTCAGCTACAAGCAACCCAAAAATCAAGAAGGATAAAATGGCTCCCTCTCATCTATAATAGTATATCAATAATCATCATTATTAATATACCTAAAATCTGAACATCAATGTAAGAAATGCTTTTTGATTTTGTACCATTCTGAGTTTTTGACCAGTTGATTTGATACTTGATCACAAGAATCTGGTTAGATAGCTGGTTAGACTGATCATCAGTCATTGAGAGCAAAAACCAGATGTGGTAATATTGCAAATATCTCTACAGTTAAACAAAAGTAATCCTGCAGTCCTCATCCTCATATACAATATTTTGTACCAGCAGCAATGTATATATATACAGTATACAGTTACAGCTATAGGTGACTGGTAAGTGTCTCTAAGAGTTGAGATAAAGGCTGTGACACCTGGCAGTGTAAACACTTCTAGCTTCAATGCAGAGAATTTTGCTGAGATGTAGGATATCCCCTGATTTACAACAAAAGTTTATCTTGGTATACCTACAGTAGGTAATTAAGTTGTGATGTCATGTTATGATTATCAATGAGCAGTCCAGAAACACACCGTATAAGATCACATTAAGACTGCAGAGGGAGAAGAAACAGGAAAGTATGAGAAAAGGAGAGAGCAGAGAAAGAAGGTCAGATCACAAGAAGGAGTTGCAACTTGAAGCTTGCACCAGGCAAGAGCCCTTACTTCATGATCATCCAACCAAAACCTGACTGAAGCTAGGTATTTGAACAGTGTTAGAGAGAGCTTACTATTCTGTGTTTTTAGGAAACTTGGGTTTCCTGGGCAAAAGATACCTCAGTTAGAGACATCTTTCCTGCTTAGGGTGTATTTTTAGAAAAGGGCATTCTATGGCATTCGAGTTTGCATAGAGTTAACCTATGTTGCATTGTTTATTCTGTAGTTGTAACAACATATAAAAACATGGAAAAGTGTGAGTCAGTACTATCATCACATGCTAATATTGATAAAGTATACTATTGGTCAAAACTGAAAAAAGAGTTCAGGCTGTTTTCAAAACTTTGTGGCATTAAAAAATATACAAGGGAATATGACATCCAGAAGTAATCATAAAAAGCATACCAGTTGGACATATACAAGTCTTTGTATATGGTACATCAGATGGTAACACAGGATTAGAGCAGGTTTCCATGAAGGCTTTTTCATTTTTGTTGAATATCAGATCTCCTGGACAAGTTGGTTCAACTGTATTTAAGAAAAGAAAAGAAAAGTTCTTAAACTGTTATCTGAGATCTTAAGACAAGATCTACTGACAAGGTTTTTCAAAAATGGTAAATGAGGAAAAGGCCACCATAACTGAATATTTATGATGAGGTTAATACAGTTACTTGCATATCCTACAAGGGTAGCTTACAGTATACTGTAGGCCCAATTTTTTTCTTAGCTTTAACATGTTCTTCAATAATGTTACAATCTTATATATAAATTGACCATGGTAAAATAAATCATACTTTTACGAATTATTTAAGAACATTCTCAAAAGTAGATAAAAACCAATGAGCCTTCTTCAGGAATGCAGGAGATAAATGTTGCAGGGAGCTGAAGAAAAGGAGAATAGAGAGCAGAGCATATCACAATGGGTGCATCAGATAAGAAAGAGTAGAAAAATGGAGACCTAGTGGATAGGTATAAAAATATATGAATATATATATATTTATTTGTAGGCCATGCTGCCTTGTACATGTGATAGCTCTTGTTTTTTCATTCTAATATTCTAAGATTGGAAATAATCCTGACTTTTTCCCTTGCAGTGCACATGAGGACCAAGTTCCCTACTCAGACATCTTTTCAAATTAATGTACAAGTTATACAATCAACTGTATTCTTAGGATCAGCCAGAATAATTAGTATTTAAAACTTAATTATATAATTTCTAAATGAAACATACAGTATGAAGCTACATCAGGTCTAAAACTACAAGACATTTTACCCCATTAATTATAAAACTAATCAACCTATTTTTGAGACTCGACAGCAAGAACACTTTCTTCTATTAGACCAGGTGTGTCAGTTAACGGAGCTGAGCTAAAGGAGATGATTCAAGGCATGACAAGGCATGACACTCTTGGCATTGATTGCATGCCTCCTGAATTTTATTTTTTTTGTCCATTTAGGATATTAAGATAGATTGCATATTTGAATTTCTGAATTCTTATATAAAGGGAACTAAATAAAATCTCCACTTTGCAGATCTTAAGGGGTATATGCTCTTACAAGACCTATTTGTCTTAATCCAGATGCTTCTCTATTTCAGCTTTTAATATAGACTACAAGATCTATTTATTCATACTAGTGTTCCCCTTAGACATTGTACATTGTGTTCTGTATAATTTCAACTTCTCTAAATTTCAGAAGACAAGGAATGTTTAAGGTAACCATATGACACCATATTCAACAGTTAACTTTGTGATGGGAAGTATTTTAAAGTCATTATATTGATAGAAGACAGTGTGTAAATTAATGGGGTATAGGGACAAAACACATTGCAAATTTAAAACATATTAAAGTTTATTTGGAATAACCTGGACAAGGCTGACAACCCTACCACCTTCACAAGGAATGAGCCAGAGAGAGGCTGCAAGAGTGAAGATGGGGTGGTGGGAGGGAGGCGATAAAGAAGCACAAAGAGGACCTCTCCACCTTCTTCACAATCACTACCCATATTTTCCCATAGTTAAAAAGTGGTACATCACCTCTAACTGCGTCCCCGCCCCCCTCTCCCCTGAACAAACTTGGCTGACTGACAACAGAATCATGTGTCTGTCACACTTGTTCTCTAAACTTTGGGACTTACACTTTTTCCCAAAGCACCAAGGGTGAGCCCATACATAAAGACAGAATTCTGCCCAAGGTTTAGCCTGCAGAAGGATTTTGCGACCAGCTAACTACCACCATTATGTAACTCACCCCATCTTAGCAGTCACCTCTCCGTGCCCAGACCTTGTCCCCATTTAATCTCAAAGCTAACCTGGGCAAATCATTTGATGGAATCAACTTTGGCCTCTTGTGCAGAATGAAGGATGAACCTACATTAGATCTCTCCTTCTCCACAATACCCCGTGCTGCCTAAAGACTGGAGTGGCACCCAGCTAGCAGAGCACTGATTGGACAACACTACACCATTGACAGCTGTTCCCCATCCTTCTGCATGGGAGTTACAAATGGATGAGCATAAGTCAATACTCCCCCTCTTTCTTATATTAACACATTAATTTAAATTTAATTCATTTGGTAGCAGCGGTTACTTAAGAGTGCCCACATTTTGATTATTTTAATGAGACTCATTAGTTAGTGTAACCAACAGTATACTAAATGTAGTATCCTTATTTTTATGGATATTTTCTGTATCAGCTTGATATTTTTAATTCTTTTATGTACAGTATACATTGTTTTTATGTGTGAAAATGTATTCTGTGTGTTGTAAATCCTTGTGAATTTTTTATTGATTCCTTATAGCCATAGTCTTACAATTTACTGTTATTGTAAATAACAGGAATTTACTGATTTTACAGTAATTAACAGTAATTTACTGTTACTCTTGCAGTTTACTGTGGTGCCAGTAAATTCACAAAGCCCACAAAATGCTAAAGAATTCATAAAGGTATTTTCAAAAGTACTGTTTCAAATGTTTTCTATGTGTTATTTCTTACTAGATAAGCACGCATTCTTATTTTGTAGCTAAATGTGATTTAAATGTTTTTCTTTTTTCAGTTTTTGTTACATTAGTCTGGAGTTTATTCATTCTCAGAAACACACCTGGGAAAAAAGGTCCCTTTGAAAATTATTTCCTTGTCTGATTTACTTCACAGAAATGGCACAGTTTATGTTTTTGGCACTAAATTACAGAGAATGTAATGAAAAAATTCATCACTCACCACACCCTGTGTTACTCCTCCATGTTTCATCTCTTGTATTACAAAATTGTGCTAGTTCTTCAAAAAATGCACATTTAAATTTTTTGTCCTTGCAAGCATTGTTTGCACAAAGATCAATTAATGTTTTAGGTTCATCAACACAATCCCACCAGAATTCTGATATAACTGAACCGCAATGCTGACAAGAAGAGAAAAGAAAGGGTGAAAATTTAACATGGATGTAACCGAGACAAAATCAGTTGTTAAAGAACACACTTTTAATGCTCAATTATAAATAGCCTTTTTCATGGTTGTTTTTCTTTCTTTGTTACTGTTTTCTTTCTTGTTCTTGCAGCAGGTTTTCCAGTCATAAACCTTCTGTAGTGTAACAGTTTGTTTCTCATGTGGATTAAATGTACTTTTATTTGTTTTCTGTGAATTTGTCTAATATAAAAAATCATGAAATAAGTAATAAAAAAGAATTACCATCTTGCCACAGTCTGTGTTTTCATCCTTGGTTTCACATTGATTTCCATAAGAAATCTGAGACTCAGAAATCAATTTCTTGCTGTCATCTTATTTAGGAAAGATATTATTACATTAGAATGCAAAAGTAAAGCATATACAGTAAAAAATGTGTAGATGGCTTTTGAAAAAGGCCTTACCTGGAGTATTATATCTACCACACAAACCATCTGTTTCCCCATGACGATTTTGATCTAGTTCCAGCTGTCATAGAAAAAAAAACATTTTGTTACAGATAAAAAGTTATTTTTTAATTGCATAAACATAGTCATTTGATTTTTTTGAAACATTTTGTTTTTAAACTTATCCCACAGATTTAATAGAGAAGGAACAACAAAAGTGACAAACTGGTCAATATTTGTCTAATGCATTCATCATAAGTCCTAACCTCCCCCACCCTACATCTGGTTGTTGTTCCTCAGTCATTCTTAATTATATTTAAGTGTTTATTTTTTGCCTTGTGAAATAGATATTTGGATGAATATGGATATGTGTTTCCTAGTTTTTCACTTTATACCCTTTCAAAATGCACAATGAATACTGCACCATAATGTGGTACGCATACCACATTATGACACCCTTTTTAAAAATCTGCTGCACTACTGTTCTACTTTGTAAAACCTCCAGGTGATGCAGTAAATGCTTAACATGATGTGTTTAAGTATTTTGGGTTGTGACCCAGTCAATACTCAGCCCTGTGGGGACAATCTTTTTCCAATTATATAATTAAATTTGCATACTGTTTCAAGTTTTATTAATTTTATACTCTATTTATAATTAATATTTAAAAAGTAGGATTGTTTTAGAAAGCTAAATTACTCAGATATATAGTTTATCTTATAGCTTGTTAAAGCCAGATAAAATCATTTCATATCATTCCCTCTTTCCTTGACACCTGAAACCTTTGTTTGTTTCTTTTCAGCCTACACATGCTGACACTGCTTTAATATCTACAGTACTTGATACTGAATATGCAACACAGTACATTTATATGCCTCAAAGTAATACACTGGATGTCTGGTCTGAAAAAAGCTAAATAATTTAAAGAATAAAAGACTGAGTAGCCTGGTTGGCTTAGCTGGTCTGACTGCAGCTTAAAAGATTTTGGTTCTGCATTGGAATCTTTCATAGTCCCTCTCATGACCTAATTGTATCCTGACCTGTCTATCAGAGAGCTCTCCATGAAGCTACTAAAGTGGATAAATTCATGTTTAGAAACAGTTTTCTTTCTTTCTTAAAATACAGTAGCTTTCTTAATAGCTTCTTTACCAGGGATGGTGATGGTGGGTGGGATTTTGCGGGAGGGAAATGTTGATTTTTTTATTTTTTATTTAGTTGTTGTGTTTTTGAAAATTAAGGGAAAAATACGTTGATAAAAATATTAACAAAATTGAATGTGTTTGAACTGTATATTTACTGTTATTGACATGATGTAAGAACTAAGACTGTTTAATAGCAACATTCGTGTGAGAAAATGACATGAACTCTCACTTATAGTACTTAATGAGATCACGTTTTGAATCTGTAACTATTTTAACTGAAATAAGTAAGGTTTGCGAGATGCATGCATGTTTGTGCATTAACATACTAGCAATCACATAACATCTGATGTTTTTATATCAATATGGAATGATTTTAATTAAAACACAAATGATGATATTTAATAATTTGTTTAAACAATTTTTTTTATTTATCGTGAGTATCAATAGATAATCAAAATATCATATCTTACCCAAAATGAACTGATATAACCATCCGCATCATACCAAAAGACTGATAGCTTCATTACCCTGCTCTCCAGCTTAGTGTAGATGCCATACTTATGGATATGGAGATATTTGTGATCATAAGGAAGATTAACACTGTAAATGGAGATATTCAAATTTTAAAGACATATATATGAAGACGTTTGAACAACAAGTGACTTAATTTAAAATTGGAGTTTCTTTGAGGTAAACAGCAGACAAACATACTTGCAGCAAAGCTGGAAGGTCTGGAATGCAACTCAAGCTTTAGCATAGATCAAAAAGAAACAACACTTACATTTTCTGGTTACAAAAGAGATAGCAACATGTCAATGTGATTGATTTCCCTATTTCTAGATGTCTCACGCCTAACCTTGGGAACTTTCACTACTAACCAGTTGTCTCCCCTGAGATTTAGCTTCTCCTGAGGCTCCATACATATTTCACTCTACCTGAGTGGACACAGACAGATGTCTCCCCCCGTGAATCTGTCTTTTGCTCAGACAGCCTTGTTCTCTCCCTTAAAACCGCATTGCTCAGTCACTTCAGGGATTGATGTTGGTACCCGCCCCTTCCGGGCTTCATATACTTTAGATACAGGTACAGTAGGCACCTCGGTGTCTCACCACTAGACCTGTTATCTCACTGACACCTGCCAGTTAGGATCTTACTTTCGCTTGTGTCTCATTTATACATCTGCCAGTGAGGAGCTTGCTCACACATTTTCTCACTATGAGACCTGCTCTCTCGCTGCCCTCCTAAGAGTGTGGTTCTACCTCCCTGTGAACCCTGCTACTCACTTTTAAACTTGGCAACGAGGGTCTGACTCCCCTGAATCAATTAGGACAGTTTACCCGCTAATCTCTAAATAGGTAGTCTGCCTTCTCACGGGTGAGGCCAGTTCCCTAAAAACCTTGTGCCTATGCGTTGTTAATGCATTTCTCACCCTGTCTGTCTGTCTAGCCCTCAAGCCCTATCGGCGCCCTCTGGTGGCTTAACCCCTTGTCTGACACTCCAGATCCAGCTGCCCTGTTACAAGCCAGAAATTGTATTTTAGGGGTCCTTAGGTGGGAACTTAAAGGGGAGAAGTACTATGTTCTTTTTTTCATTATATTGATATCTTTTGAAAAGTTAATTTACATGTTATCATAAAGCATGTTATATGGTATTATATTCTTACATCACATTCCCAGTTAGTGTATTAAAATCCATGTGCGGTCTTGCTGTTGTACAGTTAACATTACAGTATGTAAGGTTCGCTATATAGCTTGTTAATATGGATTGTTGTTAAAAACCTCTTATCTTTAGCCTAAACCCTTCTAATCACTAAGGCTGAATGAACCTTGTCCTTCAGGAATTCCTCAGTTTAAAAAATGTGTATTTCTTAACAGTTGCTATAGCAATAAATAAATAAAATGAATCGTAGAGTTACAAGCTTTGAACAATGGCATTTTTTATTGTTTTTTATTTTCTATTGGTAAATGATGTTCGACAAATAACTTGCATGCTAAACTCAGAATATCATCTGTTGTTTCATTTATGTTTGGTGAATGCTAAAGGCCAAATGCAAGCCTCATTACATCCAATGTCTATTTCATATGTCACATCACAAAGGAATCCTTGAAATCATCATTAATTTATTAGAAATTATATTAAATTAAATGTTTGCAGTGGTGCATTTTGTTATCACATTAAAGTTAAACGTCCTGATAGCTATTTATTTTATAATATGACAACACTGAGGGATGAAAGAAGTTAGTACAAGTATAAAACTGAAATATCTTTTTTTCAAATTTAACATGCATATTTGAAGCAGTGTATTACAAGTACCAAGTCATTGTAAAATCATTGTACTTTCTTATTGTGTGCACAATATGTAATTCTTCTTTTCTGTTTGACATTAGGACAAATTATTGTTCCTCATAAATATGATTTCCATTGACCGACTTAGATGACTAAATTTCATAGAGCTTTCTCTAATCACAACAATAATAATAGATGAAAATAAATTAATTTAACAAAATTAGTTAATAATTTCAATAGCTCAATCTGTAATACTACATTCTTACCCAATACATACAAAATTCAGTATTAAAAATTTCACACATCCTAAACAAAGCTGATTGATTTCTGGAAGTATGGAATTCCAGAATAAAGGTAATTCTCTTTTGATGGATGCATAGATTTAATCTTCCAATTAAACATGAGATACAAATAATAAATTATCAGTTTGTGTTAATTTAGAATATTACAAATATGCTGTTTTAAGGTTTATTATTCTGAGTTATTTCAGAGCTGAATTTATAAAGAGAATGGATTGGCTTGGTAACTGCATGAGGCTAGGTTTTAATACATGGTGTAACAAAAACTGTATATTTTCATGGTCTTTCTATTTCTGTATAGAGTTTGATGACAGATACATAATTGAACAAATTATTTTATCAACTAAAGCTGAAACTAATCTTAAAGCTTCTATGAGATCTTGAATACTTGATTCAAGGATTCTGTTGCTATTTTATTGTTTGTTTTTTGTCCTCTATAGTAGTAGAGACTCAATAAAATCCCTGATGTTCATCAAAACAGCAAAAGCTGTGACTTTCAAACCTGAATTAGATCCATATAAAAAATTGTTTTCCGAACCAAAAGTAGATTTAATTTGTCTATGTGAGGTACAGATCCAGCCATTCAAAATGAGTGAGATACGCTGCATTAAATCACGGTGGACATGGCGCAATATATCACATCATACCGCATGTTAATTGAAAAATGATAACAGTATCTCAAATCACCACCAGGTGGAGCTAATAATGCTTAACATCTCATGTACAACATTTGAGCTGTCACCAGAAAATGCCCATTACGAATCCCGGTCACTGCTGAGGGACAATATTTTTCCAATTAAGAATTTAAGTTGTATGCTCTTTAGACTTTTAATAATTTTAAACTGTGTATTACAGCATGTTAAACATTAATTGTTAAAAATTTGGTATATTTTATAAAAGCAAGATTGCTCAGTTGGACAAAAGTACACAACTTTCCACCTTATATATAAATAATGTAATTATTTCATAAATTCATAATTCATTAATTCATAAATAATTTAATTATGCAGAAATATTTTATGCATCAAAGTCTTTAACTTGGTAACTTACAGTGGGTTCTGGTTTTAACATGCTTTTTCTAACATTATTAAGCTTATATTCTGTACTTCATAAAAAGTTATAACATTTTATCCTTTTATAAGAATACTTAGTAAGAACACGACTTGCTGTTATTGTAAAAAGATAAATGTTCAGTGACTTAACAGCACTTGATAGCTATTTTAATATGGAATCGTGTAACTAAGCAGCTAAAGTATCACAAGTGGACATTTTGGAAACATTTTGACATTCGTTTCTTTTTTTAAAAAAATTTGTATTGTCCTTGTAGTAGTAATGAGCTGTAATGTAGCGAGCTGCACCCAGGCAGTTCAAAGAATTACTTTTGGTTTGTTTCTCATAGGGCCAAATGCATAAAAATAGTCCACTATTATAGCTTATTGTGAACATGATGTGTCTCTTTCAGGTTTACACCTGAATTAAGAAAAAATATATTTTGTCTTAATCCAAATGTCAGCAGCCAGTAACTGTACTACAGTATATACAGTTGTACACCGCCTGGAATTGAACCTGGTCCGTCAGCTTCATTCAACAGGGAACCAGCTGGATGAATTATTAAATTTGATGGATTTGTATTAAAGAATTTCTTCACGTAAATCTTTAAATTATACAAGGGAGGGGGGAAGAATTATTTTTTACAATTGCCAGTAATCGGGGAAAAATAAGATATTGTAACGCAACGGGGGCTCAGGCGGGCGCCCTTGCCGCATCTGGTCAGCCCCATCCCGACTGGAGGCTCGAACCCGGGACTTCCGCGTCTCTCTGCAGCGACCTAGCCCCGTGAGCTAAAGAGAGATCTCTCTACAGCCCAGTAGCTGTAGTCCTGCTATCACAGGGAAGGGCGGTGACGTCACCCGCTCTGGTATGCCGGCTCTTACACACAGTGCTTGTCAGCCGTAAGCGTTACAATATAATGACGTGTTCCTGGCTAACTCAAACATTGCATGACTTTAAAAGCTGTAAATAACTGGTTTAGATAGTTAAAAACTACTTTTTATACGCTTCAAAAGGGTGATTTTTCTTCCTCATGATCAGCTTAGATTCTCTGTGTACACAGTAAGATTTTTACTTTTTAATTAAACATTTAAAATACTTGAATTGGATAAATGTTGTACTGATTTAATACCTCTTGATAGTAATATTAATAAGGAGTTGTGTAACTAAGCAGCTAAAATATCACATGTCCTTATAGTGGTAATAGCCAATGGACTGTCGTGTAGTCCGATGCACCCAGGCAGTTCAAAGCCCGATCAGAGAATTACTTTGTGTCTTACATAGTCGAATATATAAAAATAGTCCACTATTATAGCTTGTTGTTAGCTATGGTGTGAGTGTGTGAATCTGGATGAATTATAATAAGTGATGGTTTCATGATTTAGGATTTCCTCACGCAATTCTTTAGGTTAAAGGAGGGAAAAGAGTCATATTTACACATTGTGTATTGCCTCTGCTTATATTTGTAAAAACATTCCAATTTAAATGCAACACAGAGTATATTATTATTAATATTATAACAAATGCAGGTTTTTGGGCTTGTGCTCTTGTAGCTCCTGTCCCGGTTCATCGTTCACCATATGGGCTCAAACCCAGATCTCCTGTGTCGCTCAACACAGGTTTTGCCAGCTGAGATACAGAAGACCTTCAACCTACAGTATGCTGTCAACATTCCTGTTATGCGCAGGGATGTAGAGGGCTGTACTGTCACTGTGCTGCAACTGGCTTGTACCATCTGTATGCCTGCCGTTTGTTACAATATTAATAATGCATAACCATGAACAAGCTGTAAACTGAAGAGTTAGAGAAGACACGTTGAGTCACATTGAGACCCGGCTGGGGGAGACAGTATTTTGATTTTCCTGTGCTTACTATATTCGCTACAATACTGTAAATGAGTCCCTGAGACATATCCTTCAAATTTCAGAATGATAAAAAATAAACCTTTGTTGAGTTTGCAGGAGAGACAAAAGGTATCTTTTGAGAAGTTGTGTACTGCTTGCAAAGTAGCTCATTTTGACAAACAGCTAGTTTTGCTTGAAGAACTTAAAATCTGTCTGTACTGTAGCTTTATTTAATGGAGCAGAAAGTCACTTTGCTCTTTCAATTGGCTCTATTAAGCAGAGTTTGTGTTAACACACCACACCCTTTTAAATGAGTTTTAATCAAGCTGAAAAAATGTTTTTTTATTTTACAGGCAGTGTGAACATTGAGCGAGCATGGGGGCACACAGAGAGATAAAGACAGTGAGATTACTGAGATGGATAGTTTTAGTAAATATATTGACAATTATCTGAATTTTTGCTTTCACAAGGCAAGATAAAATTGTATCTAGCAGTGAACCAGCTACAGATGCAGCCATTCAAACTGCGTGGTACAAACCTGTACCACACGCAACTACCCACAAGCCACTGCGACATATCACGGTACGTGATTGGCTGGCCAAAATGACCAGCAGGGGCACTCGTGGTGCACTGGGCATTAGTGAAAAGATTTAATCATTAAATCTCTTTACTATGCACGTTTTAATCTGCTTAGTATTAAATATTTATATGGAATTTTACATCTAAAGGGAAATTTTAGTAGCTGAGCATAAAAAGAAGAAGAGCATAACACATCTGATGGTCATAAACTATATTAATTTAGGAACATAAACATATTATATAAACTGCATATGACTACTAGATAAATACATAAATATGTAAAAAAAATCTTTACATTAAAAACTACAAGCGTTTAATTTTCTCTATTGCTACAATATCAACAGCAGTGTAGTTACAAGGAACATGTCAAAATGTTTCCAAAAGAACCACTAGTTTTGATAATAATAGAGAAGTAATAGAGAGTCCCCATTACCCCCATTTTGATTTAAATCGCAAAAGTGTGTTTAACTAAATGCCTTAATTGATTTACAATCTGGCAATGCAACGTAAATCAGTATCTTTGTCTTCTAAGTCCTTAAATTAACATGCTATTACATCCTGTAATACACAGTATAAAATTAAATGTCTAAAGAGTATACAACTTAAATTCTTAATTGGATAAAGACTGTCCCTCAGCTGTGATTGGAATTTGAAACTGGGTGTTTTCTGGTGACAGCTCAAATGCTGCACATGAGAGGTTAAGCTTTATTAGCTCCACCTGGAGGTGATTCTGGTTACTATTATCATAGCTGCGGTATTATGCGGTATGACGCGGTATGATGCAGTGTTATGAAGTGCTAACGCATTTGTGGGAAAGAGGTTTAGTGGGCAGTGTTACTCACAGTCTAGTGCTCATAGAGTGTTAGTTTTAATACACTGTACAGTATAACAGTATAAAGCAAGTATGTTTTTAATGTTTTTAATCGCTATTCTTGCAAGTACATTTTGTATTCAGTTTGTTTCTGTTTGTTAGCTGGTGGGCAAACATTCGAGGTGAAAATTCTTCCACAAGATGTGTACATTTAAAGCAGAGAAGACGGCACCAAACGTTTTCGGCTCTATATGTTGCTCAAGCCATTTCTCTTTGGCATTTTAGTTATAGAGGTGGGAAGATGCCTCCCCCTCCCCCTTCCCTCTGCCCTCCTGACCTGTTCCCATTTTTAACCATTCTGTGTCTGAATCGCAGCGGGTGAGAGAGAGTAGGGAGAGAAGGAAAAAAGTGAACCCTGTTTTTTGATAGTCAGATGTAACATATGTTTGAACACAGTCTTGCAAATGTTTTTACAAGATGTGAAAGTGCAACAATTTATCACAGTGCGAATTTTAATACTGATTATTGATTATTAATATTTTATGCACCTGACACCTGACTTTATTTATGTTTATAAAATATTGAACTGTGACATAACATTCAGAAATATTTGATTCCATATTATATTCCCTATTAATCAAATTTTAAGAAGTATGCATTTCTTTTATAGCTATAACGATCGCAAATACTCATAGAAAAGGTTAAAACATTATAACTTATAAAATTATAACTAAGTATATAAACTTAATTAGTCAGAAGGAGCACGTAAAAAAAATTCCAAAATAGCCACAGTATGTAACCGAATGAGACTTTTATGTTTAAAATGTTTACAGTATGAAGAAAGTGGAATGCTGGTGTGTATTTTTTATTTAAACTACCAATACCTGCCATATACAGTTTATATAATATGTTTATATTCCTAAATTAATATCGTTTATAACCTTCAAACATGTTATGCTCCTCTTCTTTTCATGCTCAGCTACTAAAATTTCCCCTTAGTTGTAAAAGTCCATATTAATATTAAATATAAAGTGGATATAAACATGCACAGTAAAGAGATTAGATGAAGCAATCATTTCACTAACAACCAATGCACCAAAAGTGCCACCAGTCAGTCATTTTGGCCAGCCAATCCCATACTGCGGTATAACGCGCTAAACTGTAGAAAATTTAATGCAGTACGGGGTTTCACCATGTACTTTTAATGGCTGCATCTGTATATTTTAAATTATCATTAGTTCTTGAAAGACTGATTCATAATTGGCATCTCTCCTGTTCCAACTTTAGAGTTTTTAAATGGTCATGCATTTAGGTATATGAGCTGAAATGCAACCAACCAGACTCCAGTAATAACCTGTTCAGAGCTGTTTTGATAGTAATAAGGGAGAAGACTCCTAACACATTAGGTGTGGTGCTGCTGCACAAAGTTATTTATCATGAAGCTGTTGGAACAATACATTTTTTTAAACCAATGACTGCATGTGGAAATCTTGTTCTAAACATGTAGTTACAGGCATTGTTAAGCCCGTGATTAATAAATCAGCTGGACTGAAAAAACATCAGACCTCAGGGGTCCCCCAGGATCTAGATTGGTAACCACTAATCCATCTAGTAAAAACATGTTAATACTAAATAGCCATGATGAAAAAATACAGTCTAAGAATAAATGTAGATGATAAAAAAGTATTAATTGAAACAATCATATTATATTATATTACATAGGTAAAAATAATTGTAAAACCTCTCGTGACCATGTCATAATCACAGCATTTTGTTTCCCACAATCCATGTGGTCAGTATCCATTGTCTGTGAACATCTCTGTATTTCAGAGCTATATTGATCAAATCTCAACACAATAACATGTTATGCAATTTACACAATAAATAAATATCCGCCTATAAACAAAGTTAAAATAATTTGAATAGCACTTACTTTGTCCCTTGAACATTTATTTTACCATTTTCCAAAATGGTTTCTACACCATTAAGAAAAATGATAACTTTGACCAGAAGACCATCCTCATCTCTTTGTATTCGTATGTCATAGTCTGTACCCTTTTTGCTGAATGTAAATGGGCACGTTGATTTCACGTAAAAAAAGAAGTCACTGAAGGTTTTGATAGATCCACTTCCAAATGTTTTGCATACACCTGTAAGGAAACAATATAACAATAAATAAATATTCTTTATAAACAGATTGTTGAGTATAACTATACCCAATGTTTTACAAAAAATAAAGATAGTAGCATGCTCCACTGGTACTATTCCACTTTTAATAATCCACCATAATATAAAAAAATTGGGGAGCGGTGACACTGTTGCTAAGGATCTGTCTGTGGATGGAGGGTTGCCAAATCAAATCCCACGGCCGGCAGAGGAAACGTACTCCGTTGGGCCCCTGAGCAAAGCACTTAACCCCAACTGCTCCATGGCCACTGTATAAATGGCTGACCCTGCGCTCTGACCCCAGGCTCCTCTCCCTACCTGTGTCTCTCATGGAGAGCAAGTTGGGGTATGTGAAAAGAAAAATTCCTAATGCAAGAAATTGTATATGGCTAATAAAGTGATCTTATCTTATAAATGAATAGCATTTTTGTAATTCCTTACAGTAATTTATTTTGTTAACTGGTAACTGGATAATACATGCAAGTATATCTGATCTTAATCCTAATTCATTATGAATATTAAACATTCTACAATCATATAACAGTGTTACCAACTTTCATATTGAAGAGCTCAAGCCTGTAGGTTTTATCCATCCATCAATTTTCTAATCGCTTCATACAATTCAGAGTCATAGGGGAACCATAGTCTATCTCAGGATGCAATGGGCACAAGGCAGGATGCATCCTGGACAGAATGCATGTCCATCACAGGGCACACAGAGACACAAACATGCACACACTCACATCCGGGGCAGTTTTCCCAGAAGCCAATTAAGCTACCAGTGTGTCTTTGGACTGTGGGAGGAAACAGGAGCACCAAGAGAAAACCGCATGAAAAAAGGGAGAATGTACTAACTACACACGGATTGCACCCTAGGCATAGACCCCAAGGTCCAGTGCTGGGAGGCAACAATGCTAACCACCGTGTGGCTCCATGAAGGTTTTACAATAATCTTCAATCAGTGACTAAAGATCATGTTAAAGTCAATGATAATTAAGTAACTGAGACCACAGATAGAATGAGAGCCAGAGGATCTTTATATCTACAGGACCAAGGTTTGGGAGCATTGACATGTACTGTATACAGTGGTCATATCAAACCATTTGACATGGAAGTACACTGAAATTTCTGGACACTTCATTTATCTTTAATGTGTAATTGTACTGGGCAGCACAGTGGCATTGTATGTCCTGGGCATCATTCCAGCCTGGGTTGATTCCAGCCTGGGCTGTCTTGTGTGTGGAGTTTGCATGGTCTCCTTGTGTTTCTGTGGGTTTTCACCGGGTGCTCCTGTTTCATCTTGCAGTCTTAAGACATGCTGTATAGGTTATAGGTTTTTGACTATATCAAGAAATAAATTTGTTGTTTAATTTAACACTAGGGTATTTAATATAACTAAGTTATTGTTCACTTAACACTTACCGCAGGATTTTTGCAGGTAATTGAATAAACAGATTAATTTAACCTGAAGAAGGTGATTTGTAGCATGTTTAAATATTAGTATGAGAAATATGTTGGTTTAAAAAGCTAAATATAATAATGGGTACTAATGATATCCTGAGATCACTGATTTTTAAACTGCATGCAGGTTATGTACATAAAAAAGGCAATGGAGAAGTACCAGAAATGTATGTGATATCTGTATTATAACCATTCATTTACTCTCATTATTACATTATTATTAATACTGGTTGCTTTTACTTCTGTATTTGTAACTATAATTCAGTTTGAAAACATTTGTTTATCTTTGGGAAATACATAGGGATAATTAAAATATTTACCTGGAGGTAAATCTGTGGAATGTTGACCAGAACAGGTCTTGTCTAAAAAACAAAAATAAATCACATCAACATATCGCTGCCAAAACACAGTAAAGACAAGCACTCAAAGATAAATTAGTTCTGTCGTTAGGAATTTCAGTTCCTCTAGATATTTAATTCTTATTGCTGATAGGTGAAAAACAATTTCACTCTTTTTATTATCATTTAAGTATCAGTTCAATTACTACTTTAAGAACAAAAAAAATGAAAAAGGAGGCAGCAAGCAGTAGTATTGCCCTCCTCTTTAAACATATAGTTCAGATATTTTAGCAGGATGATAGGTGGTTGACAGTGTTGTGAAATTAATCCACAGTCTCTAACATGAGACTGTTAATAAATCTTTTTAGAGCAATCAGAAGAAAGCATGTTTTGGCCTATACAATATGTAAAAGTTAAAGATCATTTTGTGACACTTGTAATTTTGCAAATTTGGACATAAATATGTTGCATACCATATTTAAAAAGTAATATGTCTGTTAAGAGAATTTGAATTTATTTAATTTAAGATTATGTAAAAATGATTGATTAGTACCTGACAAGATGTAGTGCAATATTGTGCTGGTGCTGACAGCTTAATCATATACTACACCAAAAACAAAACAGCCTGAAACCTCATAAATAAAATTCTTAAGCTGTAAGAGACTAAAAATTAATTCAGAATTAAGCATATTTTTTAAGACTTTCTTCTTATGATTTTATTACTCTGTATGTTAAGTTTACATCATTTTAAATTTCTTGTCTTGTCTAAGGTGACATACCTGACAGCAGAAAAAACACAGCCACAAGGGTGAGCTCTGAAAGCAGCTTCATGTTGTTAGGTAATAGATGACAAAGCCATCAGTTGTTAACTGTGAATGCTAGCCCTGTAGCCCTGTCTTATATTCTGATTGTCACCTGTTTTAAATAATATGAGGAAGTAAGGGTGTTAAACCATGATTTATCACATCTAAGCACATTTTATTACACACACATCTTTCACATGGTCTTTTATGGGAATAAGATACAGTGTCAGAAAAATATCATTTAGTTATTCTTATGGACATGCAGGATGGGTTTTAATACTTCTTGTATTTGAGTATGCTAATGTGACCTGCAAAAACTGATTAGAAAATATGTTTTTTATTAACAAGCAGGTAAAATTAAGAACAGTAACTTAAGAAATAACTGATGACTTGCTACATTAAAGAGGAAGTCATTTTATCCATTGTACACTTCAGCAACTGCCATATAGGCATTTTAAGAAGCATAATAAAATGAAACATATTATATTAAATCATTCCTAATTCTTACGGTAGATACCATAAATTCATACTTGAATTGTGTAATCAGTATTGATGAAAAAGATATTTAATAGATTTCTAACTTACCTAGTTAGAGATATGAGATTTTGAAAGTCTCAGAAAACCTGGGTTAAAACTTGTACATTATTGTATGAAATATATGGTTATATTAGGCTTTGTACTGTATACGAACATATTGAGTTTAAATGGTTCTAAGAACCTGCTGAGAGGTATAAGGAAGTTTCTTTCTCAGTGGTCACTTGGTATTTGTGATTTTTAACTGTCTTTTGTTTTACTTTCTGTCTAATATCCACCACCCTTTTTATCTGCCATCAATTAAATTAGGTGCCATTCGATTCTCACCTCATTTTAGCCTTATACATGGCTCATCATTAAATGTCATTTTAATTTTTTATTCTGATTTTCTGTTTGGTTTCATTGAATTATACATCTTGTTAACACTTAAATCCACTCAGATGAAGTAATTGCCAGTACCTTATAATACTGATGGGTATTAGAATAAACAACCTTTTTTCTGATTTTCTTAGATATTGGTCCTATTAACAGTCTTCAGAAATCTAATGTGTATTCCAATATAACATTAGATAAATTGTTCATCATTAAAAGTTCATTCTTTTTTGTATATTCAGACCTACAAAAAGTTTCTGCTTTGTTATTGTCTGTGAAAAACTCAAGATGGTTAGAAAATGTGCAATTTTGTATTTTCTTTTAGTGAATGTTGCCATGTCACTTCAGTTTTTTATTTCTTTGGATTTTTTAGGAGCATTCTTTTATCAATCTTTGATAAATTGTTCCCATTGTTAAACATTTTTTAATCTTAATATTAAATCAAAATAATTTAAATGAAGCATGTGTTTCCTTTCCTGATTAACAGCAAATATAGACAAGGAATTCCAATGATTTTGGTTTTCCTTTTTCACCCACAAAATTAAAAATGTATATGTTAACTACACTACATAGCACTAAGATCAACAAAATATTACCATACAATCTACTATACACTATTAAGACATTTTAGGCTATTACTAAAGCTGGAGACCTACCAGGAAGTAGATACAAAACTATCTTGCTACTATGGGGTGTGAGACAAGTGGATTGGGAATCTTAATTCTAAAGACAGCGATGTCCAACCTCTGCACCTCTTCAGTATATGAAGTTTTGAAGGCTACTGTTAGACATGGCCAGCATGAATGTGGCATTTGAAGCTTGGTTTCATGAAATTTACCTCTTCTGAGAGAAGATAAAAAAACTGACCAAATTAGAGCTGAATAACAATTGGAAATTGCCTCTATGTCAGATAAAATTGAGCTTTTTAAGCATATTCATCTGCATTATGTTTCCTGTAAAAAAACATGCCCATGTTGCAAAATCACTCATGCCAACTGATACTGTTAAAACTGATGGGTGGGTCAATTATGTTTTTTATCATATATACACCCTGGAACGTATTAATTAAGAGAATAATAAACTTCAATATAAACCAAACACCTGCTTCCCTCTGCCATGAAGATCAAGCAAGACTGAAAATGGACACTCTATCATGACGATGATCCAAAGAATATATCCAAAATAAAAAAGAAATGGTTAACTGCAGGTACAAAATATTCTTGACTGGCTGTCTCAATCGCTAAACCTTATTCCATCTGTGGGATTGAACACAAGAAAGTTGTTCACAATCAGAAACCAAATACTCTGAAGGGCCAATCCTCCATTTACGATGAATCTTACATTATTCTACTCAAAGGTAGTCAGCATTTGCAGATTTTATGGGTTATGCAGCAACCTTATCAATTAAATAGCTCCTGAACATATTGAGGACTTTGGCACGATCCCCTTTTAGCCTGATCTTGTCTAATCACAGAATATTAGTAAGGCTAGGCCTGCTCAACAGTGGGATGGGTGACCTCCAAGAAAAACCATGTTGCTGCTGCATGTGATGTTGATCTGTCAGTAGATGGCACTCTTGTCTCTGTATCAGAATTTGCAAAAGACATAAAAGATCAAATCTGCAAAATAAATAATTCCTCCAGTCTTTTGACTGGGGACACTCTGCTATAGAAGGTGCAATCCTTCAGACTAGATTTTAAACCAAGGTCCTGACAAAATGGTGTTGTTAGATGTGGAACAACACTGACAAAGCCAACATTTGCTTTGCTTGGTCATCAAAAATCATACGGCACTGTAAACCCGTGTCCTGGCTAAAGTCTATTCTGGAAATGCACAATTTAGCCTTCAAAAAGTTGCCCCTGAATTTCATCCATTTTAAGTCATTTCTTTCAATTCTTCACATGCCTTGCTTTATAGTGGACCTTCTACTATATGTAATGCTTGAAAATGGTTATGCATTACAGTACAGTATATAAGCATTTACCAGATACATTCCATAACTTAATGTCATTGACTGGCCAAAAAACTTAAACAGGACAGGGACATAAGTATTCAAAATGTTCAAAGGCACTGACAAAGTAAAACCAAAGGATCTTTCCAGAACTGACAATGAAAATCAAATGGAGCATAAAAATGGAAACTACGAAGAAGTCCACTCAAAACTGAAACAGACATACTTTTTTACACAAAGTGGGAGGCTGAAACAAGCTAAAGTGATACCCTATCTTTTTTCAAGATACAGCTGGGTGAAATCTTTGATACAAACAAAAATGTTCTACTGTAGATAGGCTAAATGGCCTCCTCTCGTTTGCAGGAGAAAGGGGGGGCTTCACAAGAACAATATGTAATTTATAAATATATAATCAGTTATAATGCTTAAATTATGTAAATTTGATAGTAATTTTTAGTTGAACTCATCTTTACTCCAAAAGGAATGGTAGGCATCCTTCTATTACCTATCACTGTAAGCTATACTGGATACAGGTGATTTGCCAAATTAAAGGTGTTGCCTAAATAAATTATATAAAATGATGATGTGATTGGTCACCTTCAGACCACTTTTATGGTTACACGCAAAATCCATAGTCAATATTTATCTTGTGTAAATCAGGATCTGACTTTTCCTTTTGGGGTGAGTCCAAGTTAGATTGTACTTCCAAAGAATTCTGAGTCTGTTTACATTAAATTTATTAGCAAAGAAATTTAGCATAGTCAAATTTAAGTTAGCACTGCTTAACGTAAAACAAATTTGAGAAGACCATTCCTTCCGTCTTGCTCTTTTTATCAGTAACTAAAGGATCTGAATATTTCACTCAGCTATTTCTTTAAAGGGGCAATGGTGTTGGCTTTGGTAATAGGGCTTGGGAAGTTTTTGCTGGCTCTCACAACTCTTGGTGTAAAAATGTTCTTCTAACTCCCAGTTTTAAATATATACTGGTGGAAAAAAGAAACAGCATTTTCTGGAATGAGAATACTATAGTTATAGCTGATGTACTTTCACAAAAAAATGTCAATTTGTTTTAAGCCCTCTGACCAGCGATACAGCTTGTGCAGTGAGGCATTGCAACTTGCCAATCACACGAAAGCTTGTTAGGTGCACTTTTACCCAATGAGGTCCAGGTAGAATAATGTCTGATTGGGTCCCCTTTAAAAAGGCCTTAATTTAAAGCTTAGGTCACTGCAAGAAAAAGGCCACACTAAGTCAGTTTTCTGTGCATTCCATAATGACTCAAATGTCACCAGAAGACATGTCATGTCATGTCAAGGCATGTCATGTGCCAGTGTTACCAGACACTATGGAGTAAGCCGCTCCACTGTGTCATGACTGCAGAGAAGGTTTCAGCTGATTGGCAGGACAAATGACCATCCAAGATCCAGTCGCCCTCGAGTGAGCACAAAAGGCAGGACCGAGACATCAGATTGGTCCATCTGAGAGATCGTTTCAGATCTGCCACCCGTACTGCTGCTGAAACTGCCGGCAGACACAATGCCCGCATCAGCGACAGGACAATGAGGCTTCATGCTGCTGGCCTTAGAGCAAGGTGACCTGTCAGAGGCCCTCTGCTCACACCTCCCAGACGTCACAACCTGAATTGGGCCAGAAGTGGCATCAGGTCCTCTTCACGGATGAGTCACTCTTCAGCCTGTTCCACGCAGACGGGAGGGCCAGAGTGTTCTTTTTTCCATCACTATATTTTCCCATAAACAATTATGTAAAAGAGTGGCATGTTTACACAGTGTCAGCATGGTGGCATAGTGGCAAGCACTGCTGCTTTACAGCACTGGTACCCTGGGTTCAATTCTGGAAATGGGGTGCTGTCTGCATGGGGTTTGTATGTTCCCTCCATGTTTGCCCTGGCTTCCTCCCACAGTTCAAAAACATACTGGAAAGTTATTTTGCTCCTAGAAAAAGGTGTCCCAAGGTGCGAGTATGTCTGTGTCTGTGTGTGCTCTGTAATAAACCTGCATTCTGACCATGGATTATTCCTCTATGTGACTGTTGCTTACCAAGATAGGCTCTGCCACTCCCCGGATAATGTGGTTGCAAAATGGATGGATGGAAAATAACAAAATTAAAACTGAATTCAATTAATAGAGCAGAGAGTCAGCGGCTGGCTCAGTCACATTAATTGTGGGCAAATGCAGCTGAAACTAAACTACATAGAAACTATGAATCAGAGACATATGTGAGTCATTCCACTCAGAGATCTGGACATAAAGAAAACACATCATGCACATTAAGTTATCCTTTCCTAATCAGTAGCAACCTTTGAAAGAAATGCATAAATTCATCACTGCAGGTATATGTTATTTTAGCAAATCTCCAGCTAACTCTGAAGGATTTTCAAAATTTGAAACAAAAGTTGTTTGGTATTGATTAAAGATCTTTATTTTACAGCACATCTTAAATATACAAAAACATTCCAGTCTCCAAATAAAAATGAGATAATCAACATAAAAAAAGTTAAATCAAGGTTGAAAAGTCAGACTGGTTTGAAGAGACCATGATTAGAGAAAATAAAGTAATTGGATCCTAAACTATTCAGTGCTTTAAATGTTATTAATAGAATTCTGAATTTTTCACTGGGATGTGGGTGTGTAAGCAAAGTACTTCAGACACTTTACTTTAGTAATGGGCTGGGTTGGCACTGCTGCTTTATTTGGTGCCCTACTGGTTTCATTGTAAAAGGATAACATTTAAATTAATTTAGTCAAGCTCCGGGAATCTTCTAATAAGACTATACAAAGACATAATTGTTGGCTGTAACTGCTGAAATGGTAGAAAGGCCTGTCACTTGGTGAAGGTATCATTTCTACATGCATGTTAAATATGCAATTGTCTGGTTTTGTAAGGATATGCTTATGCACTCACTAACAACCAATACATAGTAAGTATTTTGTGCTACAAATAATAAATATTTATTTCAATTACCTACAAAAGAAACACCTTAACAATGATAAACCACAGTAACTATTTAGAAAGGCCTTTAGAGTAGACATTTAAACAAGTATAATATTTTAAGGACATAACATCTGTATACTCTAGCTATCTCTGAAGGTGTAGGAAGGTGCTGAAAATGTGAAAAAAATCAAAAAGTCCTGGATAGAACAATAAACCAAAAAACATGATAGAACAAAACACAGCAATAAAGAAAACTCAATGATCTATACATCAGCTTGTTTGGCACTTTTCATTTCCTGCTGGCCTCTTTTTTAGGGAGTTGTTGTGTGTGTGAGATTTTCGTTTCAACAAGTGTGATATTGCAAATCTTAAATCGTTAAATTGCAACAGGATACTTCAAACACAATTCTAAATGGAATTGTATCCTCATACATTTTAAAAGTGAGATTTGTGTACATTACTAACTTACCTAGGGAAAGATTTAGACATACAGTATGTGATTTAAAATCTTAAAGAGATTAAAATTATTTAAAGCTATATACAGTAGAGTCCTTATCAGGACATAATCATTCTCATGATTCTGAGAGAACAGTATGTTCATTGGTAATAAGAAGGGTGCCTTCTGTGTGGAGTGTAGTATGCCTTTGTAACCTTCTGCTATGTGTAGGCTTTGTCTGAGTGCCCTGGTTTCTTCCCATGTTCCAGACTGGCTACTGTAAGTTTCACTATGGCCCAGTGATGTGTTCAGAATCTGCTCTTGTCAATTCTTGCTTCCTTTGCTTCAGGAACAGCCTTTTGCTTCCTATAACACTCACCAATACATGAGGTTTTCAGATGCCAGCTATACAGTACATACTATAGGCAGTAAAGACGATTTAATTTTTCACATCAGCTCCCAGTGCATTTCACCTTCATTCGTTTGTTGAATTCTGTACTGTATCATATTATAATAATAATAATTCCTTACACTCACAAAGCTCTTTTCTGGACACTCCATTCTCCATTCAGAGCACTTTACAGGTAATGGGGTCTCCCCTCCACCACCACTAATGTGCACTATCCATCTGGGTGATGCAACGGCAGACATACTGCGCCAGAAAGCTCACCAAACATCAGTTATCAGTGGGGAGGAGAAACAGAGTGATGAAGCCAATTCAGAGAATGGGGATTATTAGGAGGCCATAATTGGTAAAGGCCACTGGGAAATTTGGCCAGGATGCCAGGGTTACACCCTACTCTTTTTAAGAAACACCCTGGAATTTTTAATTTTTAAGACCCCTATAGACAGCCACAATACAAATAGCCATTTCCAGTTATTAATACATAAAATTTAAAAGAACACAGAAAATAAGAAAAACATTGAATTAAGTCCATCTGTTATGTAAGAGAAAAACACAACCAGAGTACACAAAATAATTTCAAGTTTATTACATACTGTATGCATATAATTAAGTTGAATAAGTATATGGGGTATAATCAGTAATATGCAACTCAGTTTTCCTTTAGGTTTAAAATGCTTAAGCAAGGAAAAATTTGTACATTCAATAAAATTGTCCCTTTTTACATGTTGTAGCACTAATAGTCTTACTTCAAGAATAGCATACATCTAAATAAATTTACAAAAAGTACCAGCTGTACTGTGTGAAACATTATTAATGGTACACACCGGACTTGTCCCCAGACAAATTCTGCAAAAAAAAACACAAAGGTCAGCAATAACAAATAACAGAAAATGTATACAAAGTATTTTAAAAATAGACATATACTGTATGATGAGAGGAAAGTAATAAAAACACATTATGTCTATTTTCCTGATGCGTCACGTATTCATCCAATACTTCAGAAAGTGCTAAGTCTCTTCCCCAGAAATAAAAAATGACATGAAAGGAAAAGGTCTCTGAAAAGTCCCCCAAAATAATTGTGATTGAGAAGCTTTGACAACCCAGAAACAACAAACCTGTGAGGGAGACCCCTAGACAAAAACAAAAAAAAAGTGACTGTCCCATTTTTTAGTTTAAGAAAATATTACTATACTGGAAATAAAAACAAAAGAAAAAATGTGTCTTATTAGAAAAACAAAAAAAAAATCTCAAAAAGACGTTGAAAAGACACAAGACACAAATGCTGATTAAATCTAAGGTGCTAGTATTTCCTTAGCAACCTTACTGCTATTTACATTACACTGTTCATTTGCTGCGTGTCTAAAGGATATAACACAATTCTACAAATTAAATGCTTTAGGATATAAATAATTACCTCTTGGTTCAATCAAAGGGTGTCATTCTCATTTTTTCTGCAATTTCTTGTCTCATCTCACAATGTTTCTGCAAACTTTGCACTTCAAGAGGAAGGTTCTGGTTCCAAATGTACATAACAGATTTTTCATTCTCTAAATCAGGAAAACATTAAATACATTAAAATATACTCTGGAATTTATATTAGAAGAACTATATACTGTATATACATAAATACACCTTGACAAGAAAAATACTAATACTATCCATAAAACGTAACCACAAAATGACAGACAATAGATACAGATAATAGATAAAGACAATAAGATAAAAAATTCAACTTTTTGTTGAATAAATAATGCCAAAGTAAAATTTGTGTGTGTTTTGTGTGTGTCACATTAAGTTAGATTTATCTACTTTTAGGACTTTTAGACTAGGTGAAAATCAGATATGTCTTAATATGTTAAACCGCAGAATCTTAAGAGGGTGAACTTTCTTTTTCACATCAGTGTATATCACTAATAATAGTGGATTCAGTTTTGGTCACCACACAACATAAACAATACAATAGGTAACGATAATACTTAGTCTGATATCTCAGAAATGTGTCTTATAACCTGAGAAAGAGTATAAGGAATAACATCAGGGATCCAAATCTTCCTGGTTTTAGGGGATTTATTCAGGTTACAGGACTTGAATCCCTTCACTCTGAACAAGGAGATTGAGAGGAGTTTTGATCCAAGTATATGAAGTTCAAAGTGATATAGATGGGGTGAACCTAAGAGGCTACTTGACTTCTTCCGACTTAGAAATACAAACTCATTGGCAAAGAAAATCCATAGAGAATAAGGAATGCTTCTTTACACAAAGAGTTCTGGGTATTTGAAATGGGCTTCCCAGCCAATGTCTGAGGCAAAAATTGCATGATAACATTTTAATTCTACATTGCAATCTTTCTTATATCTGTATGTTCCAAACAATTAAGTTCCAAAGAAGTTTTGGTTTTCTTACCGTGTTGATACTTGAATTGTGCTGGAGATGTTTCATAAGGTCTTCCCAAAACTAACACTATGCTTCTGGGATTCATCTTATCTGTGGAAAATAAGAAAGCTTTGTTAATTTTGGCAATACTTTTGAAATATTCCATTCTAAATACATTAATAATACAAATTGGGAAAATTGGCCCTGAAATGAGTATTAGTGTGTTTGTGTCTGCATGTGCTCTATGATGGACTGCCATAGATAGTAGATGGGTTATTTCAAGGAAGAAAACGAGTCATGCATCTACAGTAAGACACTGAGATTTCCAACTTTCAGCAACAGCAAGATAAAACACCTTACTGGAAGCAATGAGAAACACCAAATCTTAGAAGTGGAGTAAAGTACAGTATTATAACTTTAGACCTTGGCAGCACATCACTCCAACACTTACCTCTCTACATTATTTGCCTATAAGGTCACAAATTCAATATAACATCATAACTGACTTTCAAGGCTCTAAATAATCTGGCTCCATCACACTGCATAATTCTGAACTCCTTAACTATGTTTACACTTCCGTTGCCTCCGTTCAGCTGAGACTGATCCTTTGCTCACTGTACCTAGGACTAAATCTCTGACTTTTATTCCATTGTGTTATGGAATGCCCTTCCTCTGACTCTTAGAAAGACAATTTTTTTACTTTCTTCAGATCACCAAATTACCTTTTTAACCAAGGCCTTTGTCTGTTTTACCTACATTCTATCTCTATGAGCATGTATGCTCTTGTTTATTTCTTTGTCTTGTACTTTTTTAGTCTTTTTCTTTGTCACTAAGTACAGCATCATTCAGTTTTGAAAGGCATTTTATAAATAAAATATTCTTATTCTTACTCATCTGGGTCTGAAAAGACAAAATCTGAAGAACTGTCTTTGCGTTTGGGTTTTTTATCACAGAATATGAGAACAGTAATATACAGACATGTAAACAGTAGTAGAGGAAGCCATTATGCTGAATTGTGGTGAAGATAATAATTTAGATAAAATGTCTAATCACATACCAATCTGAGCTATTGCCATGCTTCTTATAGATTCACATAAGTCAGGAATCACTCTGATAGGCTGGCGTGTGGATAGGTCCACAAGAATCATATGTCCTCCCCTCGTTCCAATCCACAAAGTGATGTTTTGCTGTAGCAACAGTGTTTTCACTCTTACAGAAAACAGATCTTTAGCAGTGAATTTCTTATGAGGTCTTTTAGTTGATCCTTGTCTGACAGAAAAAAGATAACCCATTGTAAAATTTAGTGGTACATAAGACACATCATTTGAAATAAAATAAGAATACAAAACACCCACTTTTAATGATGTCCATGGAGTGTTTGTACTCCTTGTTTATAAGATGCATGAACCTACAGTAAGCAAGAAACAGATGACCTGCACTGCAATATGGAACTGATAGAACTTTGGGGGTAAGATAACAAGCCCCATTCAGAGTTTGTGCGCACAACATGATGGGAACCTTCAGACTAGATAAAAATGTGTTCAACGGGCCACATGAAAGACAAAATGATGCAGTGGTTAGCATTGGTGCCTCGCAGTGCTGGGGCCTTGGGTCCAACTCCTATAGTGCTACTGCATGCTGTTTGTACTGTATGTTCTTCTCATGTTTGTACAGATTTCCTCCTGGTTATCCAGTTTCCTCCCAGAGTCCAAAGACATGATGGGATAGGTTAATTGGTTTCTGTAAAATTGGCCCTGGTGGGAGTATGTGTGTTTGTATCTATTTGTACTCTGCAGTGGACTGACATCTAGTCCAGTTTGTATCCTGCCTTGTACTTAATACTTCCTAGGACAGGCCCTAGGCCAGTGTGACCCATCACATGATGTAATGTGGAAAAATACCGAGGATGTATATAACTCGGAATCTGTTAAAGTCCAATTGTGCACAGGTACTAGTAACTTCTTTTTATAGAAAAAAACTTCCATGTATGAAATAGGGTGACAAATGGGCTGAGGAGATGGACACTCTGGGATATTTCATAACAAACTTATAATTACTTAGTATATAGGAAAATGAAGAGACTATTCTTAACATTAAGGGTTGCAGGAGTATGGAACAAGGAATGGCTAGAAATGCCAAATAACCTCCTCTCATTTGTAACTGTTCTAATTTTCTTACTAACCGTTCTGGTCTTCTAAGAAAAGAAGTACAATTGATTCTATTATTGAATTGATTGATTCTTGAGTCCCACATGTAGTTTGTCTTTGTTGCACAGTTGTCATATTTATATAACTGTGCCGCAAAACATTACTATAAGTCGAAAGCCACAAATTATAGGTCACAAATGGTATATACAACAATAATGGGAAAGATGAAAAGCAAAAGATCAGGTTCTTACTTCAGAAAATGTGAACAGTCGATAAGTTCAGTCATCCTTTCAGTCTTCTTGTCCCATATTTCCACCACATGACTCTCCTTCTTTGTTAAGTAGATGTATTTATCAACTGCCATTCGTATTATGTTTGTTTCACTACATGATCTCTGCTGTAGCCTTAAAAATGAGACACATAAAAATTTCAAAATATAGCAGGAGAATCCCGTAATCTATAGCAATAAAAATTAAATGACAAAAAACAAGAATTAAAAAAGTGAGACACATTAAATATGATAACTCACTGATAGTTTGGCTTGATGTCTATGGTTTTCCAGATATCATAATCTTTGGTCAATGACACAACTTTTGCTCCACAGCCTGCCCAGATGGTGTTTTTATCTTGTGAATATGCAGACTCACTCAAACATACTAAAGGAGTGTTGATGTTACCTATCTGCAGAATTTTCTGAGGCTTTCCATTTTCGCTCTGTAAAAAAGCATATTTAATACACCTTAGAGTATCAAGTAGTAAAAAAGTATTGAAGAAGCTAGAATAACTATAACTGCTGTATACATGTACAAGGATAATACAAATTCATTGTTACAGAGGATGGGATTCTTTACGATAATATGCATGTTTTCTAATAAATGATTTTGTCACCATAAATATTTGGTATTTATCTTTTGGATATTGCAATACTTCAGTCTGGTGACATAATTATAGCTAAACAGCTTTGGATTGGGCTGCTGTAAGACACTTCCATTTAATACAGTATATTATCAGAATGCTGACAATGGCCTAGAAATCTGTTCTTATTTTTTTAAAGTTGTATCAATTAACATATTCATTAAAACCGAAGTAATATATCCAGTAAACATTTCAGAGAGAAGCCTAACCTCATCAGATCTTAGAACCTAAGCAAGGCTCAGCCTAATCAGTACTAGGATAGGATACCTCCAAGAAAACCAGATTGCAATGTCAAGTGTTGGTCGACCAGTAGGTGGTACTCTTCCATCAGGACTATATTTAACAAACCAATGTACCAGTACTGTGACTGAGGACAGATGACTGTAGGAGGTGCCATTCTTCTAATGAGGTTAAACTAAGGTCCTGATTACTGTACCTGTATGTACATTAAAGATCCTATGGGAACATACAGGAAATTAGGGGTGTTAACCCTGGCACCCTGAATAACCTTAATTCTGGGCTTGTACAATATGCCCTTCCTAATGTTACATTTTATTTCAGTTTGTGAAGCAGTTTCTCATGTCTTCAGCTGTTCCACTGTGCAGTGGGACTGCTAGTGCTTAATAGCACCCAGGAGGGTGCTGCACCTCATTGATGAATAAAGTGGTCTTCTCCTGTCTTTGAAAAATCCTTTGGAATTAAAAAAAACATTATACATATGCACAAAATTACTATTAGTCATATTATATTTGAATTAAAAAATGTGGGCTATTTAATTTTATTTTACTCATCCCTATTTTATATAATTTCAAACAAAGTCACCTTTATCAGACAAATGATCAGATACAGACTACTACATGTAATGCCAAAGCCATGATAACTACTGGGATATTTCTCTTAGGTATGAGGTTACCCAAAGAAACTGAACTCTAGTGTGTGTAGTAACTCATGACTTAAACATTGTTCTAGCACTTTTTTTCTGGATGTTTTTGTCAAATACTGTAACATTTCATTAACAGGAATAGCACACTATCCTGGATGTTAGTAATAACTAAAACATAAATGCATTTTATTTGCAAATGATCCACTTTGACTTTGATTAAGCATTCTAAACATTAGCAGGGAACATAAATTCCCAGTCTGACTACGTTTTGTATTTTAAATATGTTCTCATCATTTTACTGCTGTTTTACCTTGATTGCTGTGTCTTCAAAAACTGAGAGGGCTCCATCTGCTGTTCCCACTAACAGAAAATTCTTCTCTTTGCTAAATACAGAAAGTTCACAATTTGATTTTTTTTAATACAGATTTTCTTCAATGCAAAATACCATAAACATAAATATAATGATTGTACAACTGTAAGAGAGAAAATGGTTGAAAGAAAAGAAACTGCTGTTATTAATCCCCTATCACTCCTTGGCTGATTACCTATGTTTTGGATAAGAGTGCAAGAACAAACAGGTGACTGCATCAGTCATGTTCTGCAGTGTGTGTTTAGATGCTGTGTCCTCTGTGTTGATGACTAGAAGTTTTCCAGACTGTGTACCAGCAACAACCCATTCATCCTTTTCCCCTGGGAAGCACACCATTGTAAGACATAACACTGGGCTGTTGTCAACATCCTTGAAGAGAAAAGGGAACAGGATTAAAAATACTGTCAATACTCTCCTTAAATTTCCTGTACAATAGAGTAATGCTGTATTTTGTCCAGAAATCTTTTAGGACATAACACATTCTGCGTTTAAAATATATAGGTTCAGAGTTGAAACTTGCAAACATTTTAAATGGCTATTTTCTATGTGACATACAGTACAGTAAATTTAATAAACATACCACTATTGATGAGTTTTAAGTGTTAAATAAATTTTTATCCAAACAGACATGACTTATAAGAAAATAACCAGAAAAAAATGAAAGAACCTTTTCTCATAAAAGATAACACATTTTCAACCTCATTAATGAGGATTTTAAAAATGAGTTTTACATTATGCATCTGGTATATAAAAAATAAAACAAGTTCAAATTGGATTTGGCTTCTATTAGTTCCAGTGGTTACCACAAATATTTACCTCACTTGGATTTTCTATTTTATTCCATATTTTATTCCATTACGGTATGGAATCTTAATGTATTAAATTGGGGGGTTTTGTGTCCACTTATTGACACAGCACACTATAAAATTCTATAAATCCCCCTAAACTATAAATGTAAAACAAAATAAGTATTCACCATCTTTGCTATGACACACCTAATTACACTGTGGTCCAACCAACTCACTTTGATTTTTACATGATAACAAATAGTATACACACTGATGAAGTCAATATTTCGGTATTTCTCCGATTCAAAATAGTTCATGTTTTTTGTTCCAGGTCAACAGGCAATTAAACCAACAGAGACAAAGGAGCTACAGTATAAAGTGAGACGCTCCTTTAATTATCATTAGAAACAAAACTCCTGTTAATGTCAGGTAAAATGGGTTAATAAAGAGGTGCATCTGTTTTCACTATTTTAATTAATTTAACTTTAACTATATATATAATAAAATTATATCTACTGATAGACAGTTAATCTGACTCAAGTCTGATGTACAAAATAAAATAAAGCACCTTTTAGGCACATTTCAAGAGAAGCCACTTCAATGGATTATTGAAAGGATGCTGATTAAACAGATTTTTAAGTTGGAATAAAGGTCAAAGTGTTTTAACTTGTACCTGAGGAACATATTTTCCGGTCTCTAAATCCAGAACTCCAACCTGGCCTGTTCTCCTGCTGCTGCCACTGCCGATCCACACTCTTGGTTTCTTAGACTGACTCGAAACCACAAAGCATTCAGCGTTCACAGCACCAGGTATGGGGACTTCTCTCATCAAGCACAGCAGCTCCCCAGAGCTCAACCTTTCAAACACCTATAACAGAAATATGTTAGTGAGGGGGGATTGTGTTTCATGTCAGCTTTCAGCATAAAGCTAATTTATTATTATTTTTAACTGTAGATGTTTGGGGGCCAGGAAACACCTAACTACAAGTTGAGGAAACACAAAGTAACTTTATATTCTCTGTGACAATAAAACAAAAGAACTTCTGAAGAACCAATTAACTCCTGCTATGAAAAAAAGAAAACACGTAGTTTGAAATGCAGTTCTTTGTTATCACACCATAGTCTAGCTGCAGAGCTCCGCATGAAGCTCTAAAGCATGCAGGCAAAGCAGAGAAAGGATATTTACTGTACACTAAATTCAGACACTTAAACCTAAATGCTAATTTATTGGAGCCAGCTCAAGTGATGGAAACCTTACCAAATAAGTATTTTGCATAACAAGTGGGAGCCGTGTAACAAATGTTGTTTTGGTATTAGATCTGCTGCAATGTCAATATGTACAAAAAGGGCTCTACTGATTTATCTACTGATACTGTAAGTGCCATGAAACCGAGGACTCCACCATAAAACATTATTTTCCTGACAGATATGAAAACCACAGAAGCTATGCTTGTGCAAGGATTTGTGCAAGGATTTAATAGATGCATATTTATAAATAATCAACACATTGAGAAAATAGTATTTCAGCACATAAACAATTTGAAATATTTCAGGTTTACAAATGAAACAACACATTAACAGAAAATTAAACCAATAGAGTTGGACACAGCTAAACAGTGAGAAGTGACCTTTTATTATCCTTAGAAACTAAACTTGTTAATGGCAGTATGTAAAATGGGTTGTAAAGAGGCAAAAAATGACATACTGTAGGCAAATCTGCTTTGACTTCAGGATGATAATTAGACTTCACTTAAATAAATATGGGTTTTTCTGACAATTTTCAAAATTATTCAAACACTGCATAACTTATTTAAAGTAAGGAACATAATCAGCTAAATCCCCAAATTTTAAACAGAGTTTTTAAGTTCTACCAACCAACCAATATTAATTATTTATAATGTTCACTTACTGATATTAATTTTGTCATTTTAAGTAGCTAAATGTTTCTACTTCATCATTGAAGAAATAAGTTACACTTTATGCCACCTTGAAATCTAAATCTATATAATTCTTTACATCTTTAAAAACACCTTTAGCAAGCAGTAAGAATTTAGAGGTAATGAAGGCATAAAACCACAGTTACAAATGAGAGAATACCATTCCACACTTTTTGCTCATTTAGGAACTATCAGGCTTTCAACAAAAAGTTTAGCAAGCCCCTTTGACAGTTGAATCTTATTTTGCTGGTCACAGGAGATCTTTAGCATTTTTACCTGCCTTTGTCTAACACACTTTTGAGTCCAGAAATTAGTCATGTTACTCTTTTTAAAATTCTCTTGTTTTGACCAAAACTCTCAACTCAAAATGAGGCCCAATTACTAACTTTCTTTTATTTGACCTGTGTGTATTTCACTATAAATAAAAACTGATTATTTTTTTCAGGATCTTCCTCATATTGTCTAAAAATCTAAACTAATGTGTTAACATAAACTTTAAATATTTTAAGGACTGTTTTCTATTTAGTGACAATTATTTTATACTCATAAAGTATATAAATGAGACATGAATTTGTATGACCAAATCTCTACCTTTTTGTGCTTGTGCAGCCCCTGCTGCTAAATTTCTTTGTAACCTCATCTCTCCTATGTACAGTGTGCATTACATACAATTATATAATCTGCACATCTGACACATTTTTCAATTCACAGATTTGAAAGGTGCTGAAATAATTACTCCACTGATCCCTGTGGATCACTCTAATTTGTTTTCTCAGTTTAATTCTACTAATGTTATGTTTGTCAAAGTACTGTCTCTTACACTTTATTTTTGTTACTAATCCAAAGAAGAGTAATATGATAGGTGGACAAGACTTGCCTTTAAAAATATGTGTCCAGTTTCATTAGAGAAAAGTGGGAAATTACTGATCTTTACTTTCTATTTCTACTACTTTACTCACAAGCACACTTTCACTCTGTGTAATGGGCCTATTATTAAGTAAACTTCCTTAATTACAATATTTTTAGTAAATTTAATAAAATATACCTATAATACATTTTTTTCTCTCAGGGGCTCTTTAGAAAACTTTCAATAAGTTCTTTATGTTTTTTACAGAATCAAACCAACTATTCTGTGGATGCTTGATGCTGGACATATAGGGACTATACCACTACCAGAAAAAGAAAAAAGTGCAAAAGAACTGCACACATTCTGTACAATAAAAAGGTCTTTATATGAAGGAAAAACAGAAATTTAGGCTACAATTATGTGATTTCAGTTATGTGAAAATATAAATTAGTGATAACAGAACAGAGTAGGACTTACATTTTGAGTTGTGGAATGTGG